AAACACAAACACACAATCACACACAAACACACACAATCACAAGCACACACAAACACAAACATCAACACAAACGCAAACACACAGACACAACCACAAGCACAATCACAAGCACACACACAAACACAAACACAACCACAAGCACAAACACAAACACAAGCACACACACAAACACCAACACAACACACAAACACAAGCACGAGCACAAACACAAACACAAGCACAAACACAAGTACAAGCACTAACACACACAAGCACAAGCACAATCACAAACACACACACAAACACACAAAAACACAAGCACAAACACAAACACAAACACACACAGACACAAACACAAACACATGCACAAACACAACCACGAACACAAACACAAACACAAGCACAACCAGAAACACACGCACAAACACCAGCACAAGCAGAAGCACAAACACAAACACAAACACAGACAAACACAACCACAAACACAAACACAAACACAAACGTTAACACAACCACAAACATAACCACAAACACGAACACAACCACAAACACAAACACAACCACAAACGCAAACGCAACCACAAACACACAATCACACAAACACAAGCACAAACACAAACACACGCACAGACACGAGCACAAGCACAAGCACAAGCACAAACACACAAACACACAAACACAATCACAAACACAATCACAAACACAAACACACGCACAAACACAAACACAAGCACAAGCAGAAACACAAACACACACACAAACACACACACACATCCCAGCACAGAAGTTTGGGCGCCTGTGGCAGCCTCCGCGGGGTGTGTGTGTGTGTGTGTGGCCTCGGGAACGCGAACGTGCAGCAACTTACGAGGGGCTGCGGCCTCAGAAGTGCGAGCCGGTCGTCCTTTACATCGGCTTGTGGACTCGGGGGCGCGGCGAGCCTGTCACAATCAAAACGGGGGTGTGGATCAGAGGAGGAAAAGGTATACCCATACTTCTACCCTCTCCTCGTTTTCCCCTCTTTGGGCCTCCTGGGCCTCCGATGGTGTCACAGATGTGTCGGCGGGAGCCGCCCGGGAAAGCTCGAGGAACAAAACACGGTGTAATCGGACGGGGTCAGGACGAGGACACATCCGCTCCAGAGCGTCACGGAACACTCCCAGGGCGTTCCTGACCGCTTTGGGGAGACCGCGGCGCCCGAGACATCCTCCAGAGCCGCTGGACCTCAGAGATTCTCTCGGCATCGCTCGGACGTGTGCATTTTTCCTTCGGCGAGGACCATCGAGGAGCATCCTTGATCATTTGGCGAAAAAACCACGCACGAAACCGAAAAATGCACGGGAAATGGACGTCCGAGCGATGGCCAATTCTGGACTTCTCTTCACCCGATGTCATCCTCTTCCTGGCTTCGTCTTACATGTACATAGGTTGGCGGAGGCCCGCGCAGATTTCCGGGGCCGGCGCTGGACCCCATCCAAGAAATCCGCGCAGAGCTCCGAAGGTGTTGTGCTTATGGGGCTCTTTCTTTCCCTATTCCTCCGGCCACCTGCTGCGCCCGAGAGGCAGGGCCGACCGTACCACTCCCCCCCCCGGCCATCAGCCCCGCCCTGCCGGCCCCGCCGTGCAGCGCTCCCCGCTCCCGGAGCCTGGCGCCGCGTGGCCAAGGCGGTCATCGGCTTCACGCAGGCGTGACCCCTTCGCCAGGGGGCCAGACGCGAACCCTACCCCTACCCCCCACGATTTCTGAGGGGGAGGGTGGGGTTCACTTCGCTCGGGAGCTCCCGAACGCAGTGATCCCCACCCTCCTCCTCAGAAATCGTGGGGGGTAGGGGTAGGGTTCGCGTCTGGCTCCCTATTCGCTGGAGTGACCTCTGGTGCGCGGCTTTCGGGGGGCGAACCTCAGAGGAGGGCGAGCTGAGGCAACGGCAGTTGGCCTGCGGAGGGCCCCCTCGCCGCCACGGTTGGACGGAGCTCGGAAAATCTTTGCGCTTGGACTCCGGGGAGGAGTCCGGAGACAGGTTTTGAGCTGCCGTTGACTCAGCTCGCCCTCCCCCGAAAGCCCAATCACGCAGGCCGCTACTGTCGCATCGCACGCAGCTGTCGACAGCCCGCACACCTGGAGTCGTCCTTGCCTGCTGGGGCACTCTTTGCATGGAGCCGAGAAGAGGTCGTTTTGAAGTAGGAGATCAACCGCCGAGACCAGCGCAGGCCGCCTGCTCCGCTCGCGTTATCGATTGCAGAATCAAAGTCTTGGGGTGTTGCACGATGATGGCCGTGGCGGCGGCAACCATGATGGCGGTGGCGGCAGTTGAGAAGGCAAGAGCCCCTACGAGGGCGCGAAGTTCTTCGCTGCTCGCGGCTTGCGATTCGCTAGTCCTCATTCTCATTCTCTTCGTCCATCTCTTCTTCCCCGGGGGGGCGGCGCGAGAGAGCGCGAAGTGATTCGCCCCTCGCGCTTCGCGAAGCGCTGAACGCGAACCCAGCTGCCATGGCGAAGGCCGCCACGCACGAGGATCTCGCGCACGTTCTGTGTTAGCCTCTGTGAACGCTTGCTTGCAAACTGCTCTCGCACACACGGAGTTCGGCGGGAGGTTCACAACGGCGGTCGTCAGAGGGTTCCTTTGGCGAGAAGCCTGCTGCAGCACGTCCAGGATGTCAGCCTTCTGCCACGCGAGTCGGACGGCCCCCCCGGGGACTCCCACCTGGGCGTAGACGGTCGCGCGCAGGCCAGCACACTTGGTCATGTGTCAGGGGCCACGTTTGTGGGGGGATAGGCTCGGGGGCGGATGCCTCGGCCAAAATTGCCCATTCATCGCCGATGAGGGCCGATTGTCCCACCCCGCTAAGGAAGGTGCGGATTTGCTATCGGGGGCATATCGCCGATCTATCGGCCATGCGTCGCCGATGTCAGGTCGATGTTACCCCCCTTGAGCTCGTCCCCCCCTGTCGTTACCCCTCATTGGAGGTGTGTGGCGCCTGTGTTGGCACATGGCCGTCTATGCCACAGGAAGCCGGACTAACCCGTTGCGGATGCCCACCCCGGCGCCGATTGTCGAGGAGGCTCCGAGGAGGGCAACCTGAGACCACTGTAGTCAGCCTTCGGAGGGGGGTGGGCCTACACGGCTGGACGCAGCTCGGAAAACTCGCGCGTTGGACCCCAGGAGGGGTCCGGGGACCGGGTTGAGCTGCCTTGTCTCCACTCGCCCCGCGGCGAAGGTGGGGCGGGCTGGGGCAGTGGCCGGGGGAGGGAGGGGTGCCGATGCCGCTGCTCGTCCCGGAGGAGAGCGCCCGTCGCGCGGCCGGATTCTCCCCGAGGTTCTGGTCGGATCGCGCCCCGGGAGGCGCCCCTGGAGCGGCAGCATCGGGGCCCCCCCCAGGTGGTGGGCGGGCTGCCCTGGGCTGCTTCCTCCCCACGAGAGAGGGAAAGTGCGTGAAGGGGGGCCGACGGACCCGGGACGTCACCACCCACCAAACCACCCCAACCCAACCCGAAGGCTCAGACTTACCCTCGATTTCCAGTGGGGGTGGGGTCGGGAAACATAGAAAAAACACATGTGGAACCTTTACCCCTCCCCAACCCGAAATTCGGCGGGTCTTCGGGTTGGGTTGGGGTGGTCTGGTAGGTAGACAGGACGGGGCGGGGCGAGTGGTGGAGTAGGGGACGGCGGGGCGAGCGGTCGAGTAGGGGGTCGGCTGCAGAAGGGATCCTCCTCAGGGTATGTTTTCCCGTCGGATCTATTTAAAGAGCGTCGCATGCTCATCCAGGCCTGGCGGACACGCGGCTTCTGGGGAGGATCAATGTTGCAGTCGACTCCCTCCTCGAAGTGGGGAACGGGGCGAGGGGCGAGGGCCAGGGGGGGGGGGACCAGCGGGACGACGGGGATGGTAAGATCTCTGTCGGGCAGTGGCGAAGCGTCCTGGCCTGCCTGTAGGCCCACCAGAACATGTTCTAAGAACCGTTTGTGGTTTGCACGACATGTTTTCAGAACATTTCTGGCTGATACTGTCTTGTTACATCGCATCGGAATCATGTTATAAGAACATTGTTTTTGCTATTTGAACATTTTCGAGTTTTACGAACATTTCGTGATAGGCCGATACGAGTTCTGGGACGGTCAATCCCTGCTCAACTGGGGGAGCCATTGGAGGGACCATTTTCGAGTTTGACTCCGCCCTGGTCGCTTCCTTGGCCACCCTTTCTGACAGCTCGGACCGAAGATGATCCGAAGCTCGTTCTCTGCGGACCGGAAGGCTCGTCTTGCGTGCAGTTCGCCGATGCTCACAGAGCGCGTTCCACCACTCGCAAAGTGCCTCCTCGCAAGCGTCCGAAGCATGTTTGTTGGTTTCGATGACGTCTATCGCAGATCCCCCGCGGCGGATCCCGGCCACCTGCTCCTCTGGATGCCGAGGAGGAGGGAGGAGGAGGGAGGAGGAGGAGGAGGAGGAGGAGGAGGAGGACGAGGACGATGAGGGGAGGGAGGAGGAGGAGGAGGAGGAGGAGAGGAGGAAGAGGGGAGGAGGAGGAGGAGGAGGGAGGGGGGAGGGAGGAGGAGGAGAGGAGGAGAGGGAGGAGGAGGAGGGAGGAGGAGGAGGAGGAGGAGGAGGAGGAGGAGGAGGAGGAGGAGGAGGAGGAGGAGGCAGAGGAGGAGGAGGAGGAGGAGGAGGAGGAGGAGGAGGAGGAGGAGGAGGGAGGAGGAGGAGGACCCGAGCGCGCCATGACGAGCCATTTTGGCTCGGGCGCCCGGCCCCGCCGGCTGGGCGCGCGCGCGCGGGGCCCCCGCTCGGTGGTTCCGAGATGGGGTCCTAAGGGGCGTGCTCCAGCAGTGCAGCTCCAACCTCCTCCTCCTCCTCCTCCTCCTCCTCCTCCTCGTCCCCCCTTCTCCTCCTTCCCCCTCCTCCTCCTCCTCCTCCTCCTTCCCCCTCCTCCTCCCCCTCCTCCTCCCTCCTCCTCCTCCTGCCTCTGCCGCATCCCTCCGTGTCCTCCCTCGGAGCCCTTCCCACCCCTCGGGACCCAATCTCTGCACCCTCGACCCGCGGCTGCCCCTCCGCGAGCCCCGAGGGCGGCGCGGCGCGCGGCCGCCGCCGATGCCGCAGGGCGGCGGCAAGCGGGCGCGCGCGGGGGGCGAGGAGCTGCCTGGGCCGGCCGCGCCGCCCCCCCCCCCCCCCCTTCGGGCAGGAGATCGACTCGGCAGGATCGATGTGCCCCGAGCGCCCGCTGGAGGGTTTCTCCGAAGGGCTTGGGCGACCCGTCCTCCTCCTCCTCCTCCTCCTCCTCCTCCTCCTCCCTCCTCCTCCTCCCCTCCTCCTCCTCCTCCTCCTCCTCCTCCTCCTCCTCCTCCTCCTCGGGGCGCTCACGGCCCCGGGGGAAACCGTGCAGTGCCTGCCTCATCCAGATCCACGCAGCATTCTGCGCGTTTTTTTTCGCAGGTTCAATTAGAGAACCCAATGTGGGGCAGACCCAACCACCTGTAGTCGATCCCCGGCTCGCGCAGGCTCCTGCAAGGTCTGCCCGACCCGTGAACGGGTTGGTCAGGGTCAGTAGGTCCCCGATCGCCCCTTCACGGGTCACGCTCGCGGGGTGGAGGGGCCCAGGGAGGACGCATCGTCTCCCTTTCGCCGATGAATCTCCTCCTCCTCCTCCTCCTCCTCCTCCTCCTCCTCCCTCTCCTCCTCCTGCCTGGTATAGTTACCTGGTAGCCTCCCCCGCCCAGGGTCGTGGGCACTCGCCATCGAGAGCCGGGTCGCCGATCTGTCGGAGACGTATCGTCGGTTCTGGGTCGATCCCCCGCCTCGTTGACCTTCGCCCCTGCTTCCCCACCCTCGGCCTCCTCTCCATCACTTCCCTTCCCCCTCTCTGCGATGTGCTTTGGCGCACGGAATCCAGTCGGGGACGTCGTGGGCTCGTCGGCACGGGTGGAAGAGTCTCTGGAGTGCAGCAGTCCCTGGTGATGGCCAAGGCCCGTCGGCTGGCGTTGCATTGTTCGTTCGAGAGGGCCTCGGACCGCGATTCAGGGCTCAGGGCACGTGGTGACGCCGTCGAGAGCAGTGGCAGCCATCGTCGAGGTGCAATGGGAGCCTACTTTCTTGGTGATGACCGCGTATTCCCACGACTGCCGGGACCTATCGAATGCAAATATCGATGTCATTGATTCCTGTCTTTCTTTGGGTGAGGGTCTTTCATTTTGTCTCGGGGATGATTTCAACATTGAGCCTGGGATGCTCCTCTCGGGTGGCTTTGGTGGTCAGAGAGGCGTCGAGTTTCTGGCCCCTGAGGGTCACATGATGACACCTGTTGCTGGTCTCAGGCCGTATGATTATTTCCTCGCCTCGGCTGCCATAGCCAAAGCGACCAGTGTTGTGCAAGCTGTCGGGGATGCCAACTTGAGCACGCACGTTGCAGGCAGGCGCTCCGGCTGGTGGCAAGTGGGGGGTGACCCAAATGGGGTATGAATAGGGGGCCACATGCGAACCCTACCCCTACCCCCCACGATTTCTGAGGGGAGTGGGGTTCACTTCGCTCGGGACCTCCTGAGCGAAGTGAACCCCACCCTCCCCCTCAGAAATCGTGGGGGGTATGGGGTAGGGTTCGCATGTGGCCCCCTATCCTCCTCCTCCTCCTCCTCCTCCTCCTCCTCCTCCCTCCTCCTCTCCTCTGCCTCCTTGCCTCCTCCTCCTCCTCCTCCTCCTCCTTTCCTCCTCCTCCTCATCCTCATTGCCATTATCCTCCCCCTCAGAAATCGTGGGGGGGTATGGGGTAGGGCTCGCAGGTGGCCCCCCAGTGAAGAGCAGAATCCGCAAGGTGCCCTTTTGGGAACCAGCAGGTGCCCCAGAGAGGGCCCCCCAAGGGGCTCCTTTGGGGCCCTCTCTCCACCCCCCATTTGGGTCACCCCCCATCCCTATCCCTATCCTCCTCCTCCTCCTCCTCCTCCTCCTCCTCCTCATCCTCCTCATCCTGGTCCTCCTCCTCCTCCTCCTCCTCCTCCTCCTCCTCCTCCTCGTCATCCTCCTCATCCTGGTACCCGCCCGATAGGCTCCAGCTGCACCTAACTGCTGAGTGTGAGCCACAGGAGCGGTTGCGCGTGGTGCCGGTTGCGGCTCGAACAGCTGCGGTGCACGGTGACGCGGAGCGAGGACAGGACTCGGTGGATACAAACACTGGGCGAAAGCTGCCGAGGGTGAGGTGTCCGCTGCCACTGGTCAGGTCCTCCCTGTCTAGGGGTCTGAGGGTAAATCTCCTCCAAAGTATGCTGGCGCCCTGTTTTCTCCCATGACTCCAGCACATGAGACAACACGTTGTGCTTCGCCAGGTGGCTCGCCAACATGTTTTCTGACTTTGAGTCGGAAGTTGTAGCATATACATTACCAGTGGCGGGCTGTTCTACAATCCCATGACTTTTTGAGGGGCGGGGACGACGTCGGGGTGGTGTGGTGTGTACTTGTTTCCCCATTTCCCAGGGGAAATCATGAAAAATGTATACAGCAGGATCCCGTGTACACCAGGACCCGCTTTCTTGGGCAAATTTCAGTGCATGGCAGGAAAAAGCGGCGGTGTATCGAGCTCGGTTCCTTCTTGAAGGGCCACTGGGCCAATGGCAGCCAGGCGGGGATCAGGCACGTGTTCGACAGTCTCGGGCCACAACGCGCTCAGCAATGGGCTAAGTTAGGGTCAGCGATGGCCCAGTTTCTGGGCGAGCTTCCCATGTCCGAGCCTGCCGGCCGAGGGCCCGCTGCTGGACCCGTTTCATCACTTGCGTTCGCTGCTTAGCGAGATGCTTTCCAGCATCGAGGCTGATCCCAGGAGAGCAGCCAGTACGCAGTGGAAGGATCGATTTTCCCAAAGCCAGACGATGAGCTTGTCGTGTTCATACTGTCTCCAAGGGAGCCAATCCCTGGGACCCAACTACCACGCTTTCCCTGGATTGGGTGGTGGTGGCGGACCTGCTGTCGCTTCTTCTTAAAGCGGGGCCCAAGCGTTTTTCAAACCTTTGAGGGGACGTTGGGGTGGATCCTTGGTTCGAGTTGGGCGAGCTCGCTCACGAGCTCCTTGAGGTGCCCGTGGAAGCCATTCGGGAGTTTCTGGGGAGGTTCAGGGAACACGCCATTGTCAGTGCGCATGGCTTCCGCGTGAAGCATCTCGCTTTCTCGGATGGCGGGCTGCCTCGCGTCTTCTCGGGGCGTTCTGCTGCGATGGATCTCGCGGCTGCGGTTCCGACGCAGGTCGCGATCGCGCCTCTGGCGCTGCTCCCCGAGCTCGGCTCGGGGTTCCGCCCGACGGGCAACCTCTGCGAGATCCACCGTGCGCACGGGCAGGTGCGCAGGAGCGTGTGTGTTTTATCGCTTTGGGCATAATGGGCATTGTGGCCCCCCCCCCCCTACAACGTAACGCCCCTCCCCCCCCAGAGCGCTCCGGGCACTGCCGCCGCGCGCATCGGGATCCCCGTCGGCGTCCGCAGGAATGAACATGGGATCCTGGTCCGCATTGGAAATCGCACAGGGATCCGCACAGGAATGCGCATGCGCATCTGCATAGGGATCCGCACGCCGCGTAAGGAGCCGCATGGGAATTCGCATGGGAATTCGCATGGCACTGCGCATGAGCATCCGCATAGGCGTCCGCATCGGGATCCGCATCGGGATCCGCATAAGCATCCGCATAGGGATCCGCGCGTGGATCCGCATAGGGACCCGCACTCGGATCCGCATAGGGATCCAAAATTGTGGTTTTGTGTTCCCGGTGAAAACTATTGTTCTTCCTTCTGCTCCTCCCTCTCCTCCTCCTCTTTCTCCTCCTCCTCCTTCTGCTTCTCCTCCCCCTCGGACGTCGCATTCTATTCTCAGCACTTCCTTGGCAAGGCGTTTAGTTGTCCGCAGCAGATCCTCAACGACATGCTCGTTATACTTGTCCTATGCACGCAGGCACTGTGGTGTACACCAGCGCTGCGTGCACGCGGATGCTGTGGTGTAGACAGGCGCTGTGGTGTGCACAGGCGCTGCGGTGCATGCGAGCATTGTGGTGTACACATGCGCTGTGTTGCACATGGTTGCTGCGGTGTTACACATTCGCTGTGGTTTACACCAGCGCTGTGGTGCACGGAAGCACTGTGGTGTACACAGGCGCTGCGTCGCACACGGCTGTTGCGGTGTATGCAGGCGTTGTGGTGTACACGCGTGCTGTGGTGCACGCGAGCGTTGTGGTGTACACAGACGCTGTGGGACACGTCGCCACCTACATGCTGCTCGTATCGTCGTCGCTCGTCGCTCGTCGCTCGTCGCTCATCGTCGTCGTGCGCGCGGGCTCGGCTTTGGTATCGGAGCCACGCGGCGGGGGGGGGGGGCGTTACATTATACCCCCCCCCGCCCCCCCCCCCCCTTTAACGCCCATTATCGCCAAAGGTAAAGAAACGAGCTCCAGGCCCCTCGCCCAGGGATGGGATATCGAAAACCAGGGAGTACTTCGCTGCGGGGCCCTCTGAGGGGGCCCAGGAGGCAGTTTGGAGGTAAGCCGCTAGAGCGGAGAGTTCCACGGCGTGTATGGTCGAAACGGCTAGGGCGCTGCACGATCTGTATGAACATTGTGAGACCATGGATCCCAAGCCGCTCCTGTGGCGACGATGCCGGCAGATGCGTCTCCCCTTGGCCATTGCGCATCTGTCGGCTCCGATGTACCTTTAGGCTCGTTAGGTTGTCTTGAATGTAGACGGGCCCTATTGGGCCGACGGGGGCATCATCGCGGGGTGCACCCTTGATACTTCGACTATCCCGCCACAGCGAGACAGGCCCGATGCAGTACCTTGCGCAGCAACTGCCACCCGTTGCCCGAGCCTCGTCTCTGTGCCCGAGGAGTGTATAGGAATTACGGTGAGCCAGGATGAGGGGAACAGGTCACTGACTGCGTCCGGGGTTCTCTCGATCCAACTGCCACCATCCCCAGCGAAGGGAGGTTCAGCCATAATGGAGGAGGAGATGGAGGAGGGAGAACCAGTGTAAACCCAAGACGCATCAACGATGTTGCAATCAACCCTCCCTCCAACTTCCCTCTTCACAGGTCCCCCCTGGAATCTACTTCTCATGGACGGGAATACCCCATTGGAAGACAAGAAGTTGGAGAATCCTCAACCGTGCTAAGCATGTGTTGGGCTTTCATCGCCGAGGATCAAACTCGACTGCTGCGTTATGGCAATCCTAAGTCGTACCAGAGAATCCCTGGGGCTTGAACGCTGCGAATACATGTGCCTGTTGCATCCTGACTGTCCATAGCCGCGCCAGAGCACCATTCCTGGGACTTCAATCATACTATTCCTTGGCACAACCATTGATTTTTGATACGAATGCGGGCGGCGCTAAGGCCAGAAGCACATTCTGAAAAGCAACCGCCCTCCATCCCTAAAACGGTTGCACACTTGTGAGATGAATGTGCGCGGCGCTAAGGCGAGAGCCACCTTTAGAAAACGGGCCGCCCTCCTGCTGCAAACATTTATCTAGCGAATGTGGGCGCGCCAAGGCGAAAGTCATATGCTGAAAGCGGCACGCCCTACGACGGTGTTGTACACATGTCAGACGCATGTGCGCGGCGCCGAAGCGAGAGCCAAGTTTTGAAACGGGCCTCTCTCCATCTGTGAAACTGCTGCAAATTCCAAGCTTCGTGAGGAAGTCTGCGGCGAAACGCCCGGCCGCCCTGCCAACACGTCTGCGGGTCGCGGCAGGAGGATTTTTTTGTAAGGAAGAGGGATTATCGAAACGAGACGCAGGGAGGAGGGGAGGAGGCGAGGAGGGTAGGAGGGAGGAGGGAGGGAGGGAGAGAGGAAGGGCGGAAGGGATGGAGGGAGGAGGAGGAGGAGGGAGGGGAGGAGAGGGGAGGGGAGGAGGGAGGCCCCGCCCAGCCAGCCCGCCCATCGACAGGAGCTGCCCGCGGCGGTGCCCCGCCCTGAGGCGTGGGGCTGGGAGCCCGGCGGGCAAGAAACCCATCGCTGGGGGGGGGGGCTGTCGGCTACACGTCAGAGTGACCTTTCGCCGGAGTGACCTTTGGTGTTTTCTTGCGTGTAGCCGAGTCGAGGCCTTCCAGATGGGGTCCGAGTAGATGAGATGGGGTCTACGGATCGTTCCGCATCGCCAATGCATCGGCGATGCATCGGCGATGCGGCTCGATGTGGATTCCGTTTTTCTTCAGCTTCACACCGGTTGCGCCAACGCATCGCCGACTTCGCTGATGCATCGCAGAGGCACCGCCGATGCATTGCCGATGCATCGCCGATGTATCGTCGATGCGGCGCGATCCTCCGACCGGATCTACCCATCTAGGTTTTTGTGTTGGTTCCCCCTTTTCACACGGCGGTGAATAGGACTGGTCCTAAAACTTCCTTCCTCTCTTCCTCCTCCTCCTCCTCATCCTCATCTTCCTTCCCTCTCTCCCCCTCCTCATTCTCCTCCTCCCCCCTTTCCTCCTCCTCCTCATCCTCCTCCTCATCATCATCCTTATCGTCCGCCTCCTCCTGCTTCTCCTCCTGCTGCTCCGTCTCCTCGTTTTCCCCCTGCTCCTCCTCGTGTCATTCCTGAGGAGGAGAAGGAGGAGAAGGAGGAGAAGGAGGAGGAGCAGGGAAGAAGGAGGAGGAGGACGAGGAGCAGGGAATGAGGAGAGGAGGAGGAGAGGGGAGGGGGAGAAGGAGGAGGAGGAGGAGGAAAAACAGTCATGAGTTACCCCATATTGGTGTGACCCCAGTCATTCAACAAGGCCGCCGAAACAATCATGAGTTGCCCCCAGTTTGGGGGGGGTCCTGAATACCGTTCGCGGTTGCTCGGGCCCCATTTTGGGAAGGCCGCAGACCCCAGACCCCCGCGAGGGCCAGCAGGGCGTTTATTCTGAGATCTGGGCGTTTTTTTCCGTCACGGGCGATTTTGCCTTGTTCCGGGGTTCTTGGGCCATCATACAGTTATCGATTTGGCCCAAAACATGCCGCAGAAAGACATTTGGGTCTGGAGCTGTGGTCGTGACTTCTTGCGATGTCGTAGCTGTCTCGCGGCGTCGGACATCAGGGGTCCCCTGCGCGTCGTGCAGAAATCAGGACGGAATGCTTTCCGATGTGTTCGGCCTCGGTCAAGGGCAGAAACAACGCCCCTACCCTGGTTTAACGAGGCGCTGTGCGCTGAAACTCCTGTGGGCTGACAGGGTAAACCCTGCGTGATGTGCCGCGCCCTGGCGGCTCTGGGCTTCGGGGGTTCCCAGGAGGTTTACAGACCACGCACTTGTAACCCAGAGTGGGGTCGTGTTTTCATCCCTCAACTCGGGGGCCATCTCGGGGCCCTGGGGCCGTCAACAGACAATTCAGGACGAAGAGCGGGTCCCCGGGGATGGGTCGACACCTCTGGGAACCCGCGCTGTGAGCACAAAGGCACGAGACCAGCCTTCTCGAAACAGAGCTAATTGCACACATGCATGCAGTCGGCCCGCATGGTAAGGATGGGCAATTTTTTTCCCCAGGGTGCCCTCGCATCCTTGCATCCTCGGTGCATCCTGGGCCACTTCCGTTGGCCGCCTCCCGCTCGAAAGCTTCGAAACGGGCTTCCGAGGCCCTTACATCAGTATCGCGCATCCTTACTACACGGGTTGACTGTAGGCCTTGCCCATGAAGACACCTTTGCATGCACATAAACGTTTTGAGCTCCACGCGGTTTTCTCGGATCGGCGCTCGGGTTCCCTGGGCGGCGCCTCCGGCGCCGCCCTTGACGCGTTCCGCACTCTTGCGGGGTGGGGGTCCAGCGCCGACTCGACAGCTGCGCCGGCCTCCGAAAGCCTGGGTTGATCCATTTTGTCCCTCCTCCATCCAAGGCCCATCGTCGACGTCGTCGACTCTCTTCCTCCCTCCTCCTCCCCCCTCCCCCCCCCCCCTTCACTCCTCCAGCCTCCTCGTCATCCCTACTCCCTTATCCCTCCTCTCTCTTGGAGCCAGCTGGGGCGCTGAGGTGGGCCTGCACTGGTTCCGGCCAGCAGAAGGAGGGCCCCAGGAGGGATGAGGACCCCACTCGTCGCCCTTTCTGGACGCGGCTTGAAGAGCTTGTCAGTTTCGACCTCGGGAGGAGTCTGGAGACCGAGTCTGATCGAGCCGGACGAAAGGGCAGGATTCGAGTAGGAGATCGGTTACAGAATTCTCCACGCTTCGCGTATCCCCACCATACCTTCGTTCAGCGCCCCGGACGTTGACCCGCTTCTTGACCTTCGCCAGGGAGCCGCCGACCAAAAAAGTATCCCCACCATGTTTTACATCGTACCGCGCCCCGGACGTTGTGCCCGCTCCTTGTCCCTTGCCTTGGAGCCGCGAACCCAAAAAAGTATCCCCCCCATCCCTGCGCACTCACGAACAAAAAAGTATCCCCACCATCCCATTCAGAAGCCCTGCCCACGAGAGCTGACGGGAAAAGGGACGAAGGGACACATCTAGGTAAACAATGCGAGCAACCAGGATGAACCGAGAGATCTCTGGGAGCAAGGGGGTGGCCTTGGAAGGCCTCTTCGGGCCATCCCTGGGGGCCGCGTGGGGGCGAGGGGAAGAGGAGGAGGACAAGGAGGAGGAGGAGGTGGAGGGATTTCTCCGCCATCAGCTGGCGCTGCTGCTGCTGCTGGTGGTGCTGCTGATGTTGTTGCTGCCTCTGCTGGTGCTGCGGCTGGTGCCCTGGAAGGCCTGTTGGGACCATCTAGGAGAACATCGATCAAAAGATGGGGGGTCCTCGATTTCGGCCCCTTCCTGGGAGCCCTGAAAATCGCTTCTTGGAGCTCTCCTGGGGCTCTTTTGGAGGGTATTGGAGCTCTTTGGGGGATCTTTTAGGGCCTTGGAGCCCTCTTGGGGCCCTCTTGGGGCTCTCTTGGAGCCCTCTTGGGAGCCCTGGAAGGCCTCTTGGGGCCATCTTGAAGGCCATCGATCAAAGGAGATGGTATAACATTCAGTCCCCCCCCAAAGAAGCCCAAATGGGGCCAAAACATTAGTAAAACCAGCGATTTTGGCTTCTTCGCCGAGGCCGTTTTGGATACCCTGACACCTCGCAAAATTCCCCCCCAAAAGTCCAGGGGAAGGGGTAGGGGGAGGGGTCAAGACACCCCCCCGCCCGCAAGCCGTCTCGCTCACTCCCACCCGCCCTCCCAACACATACGTAGCACCCGAGTCTGGCCCGAGCCTCAGCATATTCAGCAGTCGTCTTTGGATGGGTAGCTACTGAGGGCCAATCCGCCGCCGCCACTGCCGCCGCCGCCGCCGCCGCCGCCGCCGCCGCCGCAGCCGCTGCTTCTACCGCCACCGCCGCCGCCGCCACCGCCGCCACCGCTGCCGCCGCCGCCGCCGCGGCCGCCTCCGCCAAGTGTACTCAGTATTGTTTTTTGATCGGGATGGTGGGGGGGGGGGGCGCATCGGGTTGGCTGCGCATGTTCCGAATTTGGAGGCAGAGTGTGTTTTGTATTGTTTTTTACAAGGGATTGTGGGGCGGCGTCGTCATGGACCTGGGTTGGCCCCCAGTCGCCTGGGGGAGGGGTGTGTATTAATAGGGAACAGTGATAAACCCCTCCCCGTAGGGGAAGAGGGGCTTTTTGGAAGAGGGAAGAGGGATCTCATTAGACCACCTGCGCCCAGAGGGCTGGTGGGATCTCTGTTCACCCCGAAATCGTTTTTGTTGTCGTCGAATGCTCGGCAGATCTGCGGGGCTTGAGTAAATCAGTTTTGGGGCAATCCAACTCTGCAGCCGACCCCCCTCTCGGAGGATGGGGAAAGGGGTGGTGACGAAAGCTGCTGCATGCAGTCGGAGGGCACCAACTATACACCAACACCGATCCTGGCCCAGGATCACCCTGGGCCCAGGATCGGTGTATATGCCTTCTTGCGCAAGGCAGGAGGGCGTATACACCGATCCTGGGCCCAGGGTGATCCTGGGCCAGGATCGGTGTTGGTGTATAGTTGGTGCCTTCCTATGCAGCTCGTTGCGGCCCCGCCGCCGGGCGCGTTCCTCGATACACTAGGTTCGCGCCGTGCCGACGGGCGGCGACCCCGCCGCCAGCGCTCGACGTCGAACGCCTCCGGCGACCCAGAATCGGCCGATGCTGAACGATCTGACGTCAGAGCCCCGAATCATCAGGGGCAACTCGGGTCAGGGCTATCTCGGGTTCGTTTTTCGGGAATCCGAACCCGAGTTATCCCGGACCCGAGTTACCCCGGATATTTCGGGCGTCCAGAGCCCCGAATCATCAGGGGTAACTCGGGTCAGGGCTAACTCGGGTCCGTTTTTCGGGAACCCAAACCCGAGTTACCCCGGACCCGAGTTATCCCGGATAATTCGGGCGTCCAATGACGGATCGGAAACGGCCGATCCTTCAAGGTGGAACGATCCCAGCGGTGTCGGAAACCAACGCCGGGCTCGTCACGGCACGAATTTGCCGTACGAGGGCGCCTCCTGGCGCCAGTGGGTGCCAGGAAAGCCAGCTGCGTGAGCCGGTTCCCTACCCCTCCCCTTGCTATCCTACCCTTTCGTCGCCCCCGGTTTTGGCCCGATTCGACTTCAACCTGGAGCGATCCGCGCGGTGCCAGAAGCCAACGCGCAAGTCGGCACGGCACGAGCTTGCCAGGCCCTTTCCTGTACAGTGCCGTTTTTAATACATGCTGCGCGTGCGGATCATCTATAAAAAATGCAGGGATTTAGTATTAAAAACAACGATGAGTTCATGCATAAACTTATTCATACATTAATCATGTATTAAACATCATGTCTTTAAGAAAAAACAAACATCCTATGTGTATTAAAAACTGCCCTGTACGCAGTCGCGTACCTGTGGAGTGCCAGGTTAGGTACAAAGGAGGTCAAGGGAAGCGCCTCGTCCGTGTCCTCGCCTCGGAGGAGCTGCTTGATGTCATCTCCATGTTTTCTGAAGCTTTCGTGGGTTCTCGGGGGTGGACAGAACCCCCAACAGTGACACGTCGATTAGTGAATTGTCCGTTTTCGGTTCTCGAGAGGGCGCCGTGGCCGTTATTTTCAAGGCTCGCGCCCGCCAGGTTTGGGCCTCAGGTCGTTTTCACTAAACCACGTTTTACTAGAGGGGGGTCTGTCCATCCCCGAGTCATCTCCATGTTTTCTGAGGCTTTCGTGGGTTCCTGGGTTCCTGTAGGTTTTCCCGCGAAATGCGCCCGCTACCGCCCTCTTGAGCAGGAGCTGGCAGAGGACCCAATCCAGCTCTCGCAGGCGCTCTTGCAGGAGCCCGTGAACAAGGCGGGGAGGGGGGCAGATCAATCGACGCAGACCCGAGCATAAGCGCAAACTCTTCTCGTTGGAGCTTCGAGCTTGCAGCGTATGCTCCTGCCTGCGGCAACCCGGCCACTGCCAGCGCAGCAGAGCAGTTGGGATGAGGGTTTGGTTCAGACTTGCTCCAGCTCCTGCGTTGTCATCAGGCTCGCTCTCCTCTTTCCTCCTTCCCCTCCCCTCTCAGAAGTTTCTTGGCGGGTTCTTGGGGGGTCGACAGGCGAGTCGAGAAATTGTTCAGGGCGAACGAGGCAAGTTCGGCAGGCGAGCGAGGCAGTTCTCTCCCCCTAACCAAGAAGTTGTTTGTTGAAGGGCCACGAGGATTGTTCTGTTCAGGGAGAGCCAGGACATGTTCCTCTGGCGAACGAGGAAATTTGCAGACGGTCCTGAGGAAAAAGTTGCATAGCGAAGACACTTCCCAGAAAACCGCTACGACGCAAACACCGACGGGGAAAACGACGAAATGAGGACGACGGCGACGGCGACGACGACGACGACGACGACGACTACCAGCGCCACGAGTTCGACGACGCTGACGACCAAACCCGCTACGACGACAATGCCGACGCGACAACGACGACAAAAACCGACGACCACGGCGACGACGACGATGGCGACGAGGACGACGCCGACGACGACGACGACGACGACGACACGGGCGGCCGGGCTGTCTTCGGACGCCCGTGCGAGCCGCGCCTCGAAGAACAGGGCGAGCAGACGGAGCCCTAACGACCTAGCTGGGCAGGCGTTCCTCGAAGGAGTCGGGTAGAGCCAGCCAGCAGGGACAGGCAAAGTCACGAAACAAACATATTTCTAGGCCTTCGCCGCATCGGCGATGCGGTTCGATTTGGAGCCCGATTTTCTCCGCGCTGGCGTCGTCGATGCACCGCCGACATCAGCGATTCGTCGGCGATACATTGGCGCTGCGCCGCCATCCTCCGACCCCATGTACTCGGACTCCATCTAGGAGGCCTCCATCGAAGACGCCTGAGGCGAATCACCGCCGCCCCCCGCCTTCTAGAATCGCCCATGTGGCCGAGCGTTGTAGGAAGCTCTGCCAAGGTATCGGTCGGGCCATGTGTTCCCCCAACCGTTGTGGAAACCCGTCGGGGAACACTTGGGGGAGGATGGCGGGGAAGATCAAGAGGAGGTGGAGGAGGAGGAGGAGGAGGAGGAGGAGGAGGCGTAGGGAGGAGGAGGAGGAGGCGTAGGAGGGGGCATCTTGGGAGCCTCTGGGGACACTCTTGGGGCCTCCTGGGAGCCTCCTGGGAGCCTCCTGGGAGCCTCCTGGACCTTCTTGGCCGTCTTGGCGGGCTCCTGGCCCGTTTGACTGACGCCGTCGGAAGCTGTATTGGGGGCCTCTCTGGGCCGACTTGGGGCTTTCTTGGAATGCTCCAGGGCCGTCTTAGTGGCCACCTTGAGCGTCTTGGAGGCCTGTTGGGCCGTCTCGGGGGCCCCTTGGGGCCGTCTTGGGGGCTTCTTGGGCTGTTCTGGGGCCGTCTTGGAGGCCTTTTGGGCGATCTTGGGGCGGTCTGTGGTGGCTCTTGGGCCGTCTTGGGCCGTCGGAAGGCAGAAAAAAAGCAAATGCCACAATCCTTCACAAACTCATGAAACATCAATGAGTTTGGCTTCTTCGGGCCTTCCTGGAGGCCCTCTTGGAGGCCTCTTGGGCCGTCTTGGGACAGTTTCGAGCCAACTTCGGCCATCTTGGTGGGCTCCTGGCCCGTCTGACGCCGTCGGAAGCCGTTTGGGGGGCCTCTCTGGGCCGACTTGGGGCCCTCTTGGGGTACTCCAGGGCCGTCTCAGAGGCCATGTTTGGGCGTCTTGGAGGCCTCTTAGATCGTCTTTGTGCCCTCTTGGGGCCGTCTTGGGGGCCTCTCGGGCAGTCTTGAGGCCATCTTGGAGGCCTCTTGGGCGCTCTGAGGGCGATCTTGGGGGCATCTTGGGCCTTTTTGGGTCGTCGGAAAGCGGAAAAGGAGCAAATGCCAAAATCCTTCAAACATTTTAGGAGAACCACGGATTTTGGCCTCTTCGTGCCCTCGTGGAGGACCTCTTGGAGGCCTCTTGGGCCGTCTTGGAGGCCTCCTGGAGGCCCCTGGGGCCGTCTTGGGCCATCGTGGTGCCATCTGAGGCTGTCTTGAGTGCATCTTGGCTCGTCTTGGAGGTATCTTGGGGCCATCTGAGCCGTCTTGGAGGCAATCTTGGCCGTCTTGGATGCATCTTGGAGGCCATCTTGGGCCATCTTGGAGCCGTCTGGAGCAGGACAAACCTTTTGCAACCGGGTCTGGAAGATCGTTCCGGGTGGCCGGCGGGACGGGCCGAAGCCCCAGGAGGAGTTCTTTTGGAAAAAGAGCCAAAACCGAAAGGGTCTCGCACGCCAGGCACACCTGCGATGAATCGACAGGGGGCGGCGGATCGAAGACGCCTACGGCGAATCACCGCCGCCCCCGTTGTGGCCGAACGTTGAGGCCAGACCTGCCAAGCTATCGGACCATGTGTTCCCCGAATCGGTTTGGAAAGCATTCGGGGAACACGTGGGCATCTTGAAGGTCATCTTGGCCGTCTGGAGGCCATTTCGACCCTTTCGGGCCTTCTTGGGGGACGTCTTGGAGGGCTCTTGGGCCATCTTGGAGGCCATCTTGAGCGTCTTGGAGACCTCTTGGGCCGTCTTGGGGGCCTCTTGGGGCCGTGCCTTGGACCTCTTGGGCGATCTTTGGGGGCACTTGGGCCGTCTCGGGCCGTCGGAAGGCAGAAAAAGAGCAAATGCCACAATCCTTCAAACACCGATGGGAAATCAATGATTTGGGTTTTTCGGGCCTTCCTGGAGGCCCTCTTGGAGGCCTCTTGGGCCGTCTTGGGACATCTTAGGGCCATCTTGGGCCGTCTTGGTGGGCTCCTGGTCCGTCTGACGCCGTCGGAAGCCGTTTGGGGGGCCTCTACTGGCCGACTTGGGGCCCTCTTGGAATGCTCCAGGGCCGTCTTGGAGGCCATCTTGGACTTCTTCAAGGCCTCCTGTGCCGTCTTGGGGGCCTCTTGGAACCGTCTTGGGGCCCTCTTGGGCCGTTCTGGGGCCATCTTGGAGGCCTCTTGGGCGATCTTTCGGCGATCTTTGGGGGCTCTTGGGCCGTCTCGGGCCGTCGTAAGGCCGAAAAGAAGCAAATGTCAAGATCCATCAAACACCTTACGAAATCAATGATGTTGGCCTCTTCTGCGGCGCCTTCTAAGAGGCAGCATCCTTCGCAGAAACCTCCCCCCCTCCCCCTGCCCCCCTGTGCGCGCGGCCAACTGGCCCCCCTGCCTCCACTCCCCACACTTGCTGCAGTCCACTTCCCCCGGCGCGGAGTGGCGGCCCAGTCGAACCCCGGCAGATTCGCGAACACCAGGGTCGGCGGAGCTTGGCCTCTAGGCAGCGGCGGCGTCGATGGGCCCCCCCTGCAAAGTGCACTTCCGCCCTGACAGCCGCGCGGCTAGATGTGAAGCTTCGCCCTTCGCTGTTGGCTCCTCCATGGTAAGTTCGTGATTGAGGAAGTTCGTGAGTTGGGGTGGGCAGTCGAATTGAAAGACGTCCCGCGGACCTTCCTGGGGCCATCTTCTGAGCCTTCTCGTTTGTGCAGAGGCTGCGCGTCATGCGACGTGCCCGAACAGCGCACGAGAACACCACTATAGAAGCCTCTAGAAGGGTATGATGTCGAAGTACCCTGACAGCGCACGCAGCCTGCATCGGCAAGCATGTGGCCAACTTTGGTGCAGCCGTGGCCCTTCAGACTGCCAGGGGCGCTGTTGTGCTGCAGAGGCGCTCCTCGAGGAGGCCTCGGCAGACCTCTCGAAGCTTGTGCCCAGGGGCTCGCGCGCCGGCAAGGCTCTCTCGGAGCAAGGGAAAATTCATAGCAATATACATGGCGAGCATTAGAACATGGTCGGATTCGGGCGAATGGGTCCTTCGCAAAGGGGTCCTCAAGCATGTACGCAGGAGGTCGTGCAATCGCTCGTGAAGGATACGCACGTCGTACAGTATCAGCATGTGGCTGCCACGCGCCATGCGCCACAGGATGAACTATTGCATGCTTGATGCGACCCCAGTACGAAAGACCCTCTTTGCCCGGAACCAACATAGGGCAATATGTTTGTGGCCATATCGGCGCCATCTGGCTTCATCGTGGGGGCCCTATTGGGGCGTTGCTGGGCACTCCTGGGTTATCTCAGGGCTCCCTTACCCTTTCCCCTTCTCCTTTCCCCCCGCTCCTCCTTCCCATTCACTTTGAGCAGGAGGGGTTGTGTGCAGCCTTGTGGTCTCGCGTTCTTTCTCTCTCTCTCTCTCTTTCTTTTGTTTCCTCTCTCTCTCTCTCTCTTTCTCTCTCTCTCTCTCTCTTTCTCTCTCTCTCTCTCTCTCTCTCTCTCTCTTTTTGATCTCTACACATGTTATATACATACATATATGGACCGCCTCCCCACCAGCACCAATTTTCTAACCAGCATTCACGTACGACGGTGGTGCTATTCCATTTCTCCTCATCATCCTCCTCGTCTCTCTTTGTCTCCCTGTATATCTCTCGCTGTCGCTCTCTGTCTCTCTCTCTCTCTCTTTGTTTCTCTCTCTCTCTCTTTCTCTCTTTCTCTCTCTCTCTCTCTCGCTTTCCCCTCTCTCGCTGGTCGGCTTCTCAAGGCGCGGCCCCTGATCCCCGCGCATGAAAACGCAAGGATTGCGATTACAGGGGTGCGGCAACCCTGTGTTGTCAATTGGATGGTCGGGATTTCGGGGTTGAGAAGTGAGGGAACCATGCATTTTCATTTGGATGTTTGAGTTTTCAGGGCTTTCATTCCTCCAACGAAATCCCGCCCAGGAGCCCTCCCAGGAGCTCGAATCACAAGCATCCAAATGAAAACGCAAGTTGTTGCTGCGTCAGGAGTGCGGAAGCCTTGTGTTGTCATTGGGATTCTTGGATTTCTGCGGTCAGAAGTGATTGCACCCGTCATGCTCAGTTGGAGTTGCTGAGATTTGGAGGATTTCTGGGGCTCTGAACTTTCGGGGGCTCCTGAGCGGGGCTTGCGCTGGGAGATGAAAAATCCCCCAAATCCCCCCAAAGCAATCCCAATGCGAACACAAGGGTTCCTCACTTCTCATCCCAGCAATCCGGAGAATCCATGTGAAAACGCGAGGTGTGGGCACCACTGGCGTCGCGAACCCAGCGTTTTCACATGGATGGTTCTGGGTGCCTGGGGTCCTCTCCTCACCCGGCGAGAAACCAAGTGGAATGAGGCAGACTCCAGATCCAGCCGATTACAATGAGATTCCGAGCTGTGTACAATGAGGATCCAGTTAATGGTGTGGAACGGATCACAGATTCAGCCGATTCCAATTCGATCCCCATTGGAGCCTGGTAGAATCGAATAAGAACTGAGCAGATCCCAGATCAAGCTGATTCAGATTGGATTCCTGCGGGCACCAGCTTAATATCGAATTGAAATGGTGCAAATCCCAGGTCCAGCTGAGTACGCTTGTATTCACACGGGGATATAATTTGAATCCGAGTGGATTTGGACTGATCTCAGATCCAGCTGATGTAAATTGGCTTCCTTTTGGGATTGCAAGTTCGAAACTAAGTAAAATAGACGCATCCTTGAGCCAGCTGAGTCCAACAGTAGTCGCATTGGCTTCTAATTTTAATCTAGTTGGGATTAGGCAGACCAGAGATCGAACTGATTCCAATAGACCCGTATTGAAATCGAAGTCGAATCTAAATGGAATTGAGCAGATCTCAGATCCAGCGGATTCTGACTGGATTTCTACGGGAATATGATCAGAATATGATTGGAATGGAGCAGATCCCAAAAACAGTTCCTTCATTGGATTTCCGATTTGAATCGAATTGCAATATGATTTGAATTTGGCAGATCTCAGATCCAGCTGATTCCAAAGTGATTCCTAGTGGAATCGAAGTAGAACCTAATTGGAATTGGGCACATGCCAGATCCAGCTGTGTCCAATTGGATTCTCATTGTAAGTAATTAAGAATCTCAGTAACATGAAACACATCCCAGATCCAGCTCATTCAAATTAGATTCCAGCATGAGAAAGCAGCAGAGAAATTCCGAATTGAATGGAGGAGCAGGAAAGGATGTGAGAAGGAACGGATGACAAGTCGGTGGATGACCAGTAAGAGTACGAATGAAGAGCTCACATACCGATGCAGCATGGGGTATACAAGATATAGCTGCAAAGGCAGCTTGACTAAGAGCACAAACACATAATGAATAGGTGATGGGGTGTGTATATATATGTATATATATGTACATGCAAACATACATATATACATGTATACATCTACACATGCACGCCTCCCTCTCTTTCGTTCTCCTCCTCCCTCGCCCCTCCCTCCCCCCCTCCTCTGCAGGCGCCGCGGAAGTCCGCCACGCCCTGGCGGAACCTCGGGCGGCGTCAAGAGCGCCGCAAGGACTCGCGCGCACGAGCTAACGGGGCGTGGGGACTCGGGCCGGGGACCTCGAAGGCGAGTCACGCCACCAATCTGGTGAGCACGCAGAGTCTGCAAAAGTCCTGGGAGATAGGTGTACGCATGCCTTTTTGCAGCCGTGGATGAGAGACTGATGGGGGTCGAGGGGCGCGCAGAGCGCAGGCGGACGTCGCGGGGCGGGCCGCAGTGTGGGTCGCAGGCCGGGTCGCGGGCCAGGTCGCGGGCCAGGTCGCGGGGCGAGGTCGTGGACCCCAGGTCGCGCGGTGGGCGTCGGGCGGGTTTCGAGGCAGATCTCGGGGCAGGTCGCAGATGGGCCGCGCACAGCGTCGCACTGGGTCGCGGGGCGGGCCGCACGGGCGGTCGCGGTGAGCGCCGATGTCTTTGCTGTTCGCGCGAGTCAGAGCGTTTGCCTCGGACAGGGCTAGGACGAGGATGAAGCCGTTCCATGGCGTTCCGGAACGCTCTCAGAGCGCTCGGGAACGCTCCGAGAAGGCCGCGGCGCCCGAGACGTCCTCCAGGGCCGCCGGATCTCAGAGATTCCCTAGTTATCCTCACCCGATTTGAGCCTCGTCCTGGCTTCGTCGTGCTGCTCTCGGGTGCCTGGGGTGCGGGCGCACGGCTGGAGAGAAGGCGGGTCGTGGGCCGTCGGCCCAGTCTCCGGGCCAGGAGTCTGGGGCGAGGTATCGCCGAGGCAGGCGGGCAGCACTCCTCGAGCTCGGTTCCCCGAGGCGTCCCCCAGGGCGTGTCTCGGGGTGGCATCTCGAGGCACCTCGCAACGGCGGCGCGGATAACGCCTGGAGCGGGTCCGTGCCGCCGTTCGTGTTGCGAGGTCCGACTGCATGTGAATTCATGCAGGCACCTTGGGCACCTCCCTTCGGGTTGTGTCGCCCAGGTGTTCTGTCCTGGCAAAAATTATGCCGCAATAAGGCATTATGTGGGGGCCGAAAAACGCTGTCCGAGGCTCATGCTTTCCACTTCTGCCCGCCACGGCCAGTCTTCAGGCCCGTCTCGGGGCAGGAGTCCCGGGCGAGGTCTCCGAGGCGGGCGGGCAGCGCCCCTCGAGCCTGGTTCGCCGGTACGTCCCGCGAGGTGCGCTGTAGCCGCTAGGGGGGCGGGAAGATGTTGTCTGAGGCTCATGCTTCAGCCAGTCCGCCTTCGCGTGTTCCTGTCCTGGCTTTATGCGCTGTGTCGAGTGTGCCAGGGTCCAGGCCTGGAAGGTTGTCCTTCGCCAGCTGGCTCAGTTTTCTGGCCATCAGCTTCCAATCGTCAGTGCGCCGAGCTTCCAGTATTCATGTGCCATGTGTTGGGAGCCTGTGATTCGCCTTCAGGCCGCCCTTGACCCAAGACGCTGTCTCTTATGCGCTCGCAGGAGGCCGCGCAGGAGGACTTGCCGCTCATAGTCCGCTGTCTGCGGCGCGGGGCGATGGTTGCCGAGGTCGGCGCGGGCGCGGGAATGTTATTGGCCCCCCTGCTTGCGGGATGCAGTTTTCGGTCGTCGGGGAAGCTCCGCCCTTTACGCTGGTCGGGAGGGCGCCCAGGAGGGGGCTTGGGCCGACGGAGCTGGCGTCGGTCGGCCGAGAGGAGCGGCTTCCGTATGCTGGGGCAGACAGGGCACGTAGCCCGGAGAGAGGCAGGAGAGCATAACCCTATGCCGGTGGGAATCGCACGCTGGGGATAAGTTCGGGGTCCTGGGAGGATAGGGTTCTTCCCGGAGATGTCGATGTTGGGATGTCTGGATGGGTTTTGAATGACATCCAAGCTGATCTGGAGAAGCCTTCCTCTGGATCTTGCTTGAAGGGGTTGGGTGAGCACGAATCCTGAGACATACACTGGTTGAATGATATACTGGCCACTCTTAGGGGACCTGCCTAGAGGTATGGGACGAATACGAAGCCTGTGAAATACTATAGTTCCCTGGCACATTGGTCCCTTTGATGGGGGGAGTGCATTGAGATGTAGGAGGCGAAGGAAATATGTGAACTACTAGAAAAGAGGACAGGAGAAGGAAGGAACACCTGTAGGATAAGCAGGACACCTGTAGGAGGAGAAGGGGGAGAAGACAGAAAAGAAGGAGAAGGAGTAAAAGGCGAACAAGACAAGTTTTTAATCATGAAGGACAAGGGGCAGGACGAGGAAAATACAAGAGGAGGATGATCACGGCGACGCGGAGAGGGAGGAGGAGGAGGAGGAGGAGGAGGAGGAGGAGGAGGAGGAGGAGGAGGAGGAGGAGGAGAAGGATCTTTCAAGAGAAATCACAGTTTCGGACCTATCAAACTCTTTGTGCAGAACTGAAGGATCATTAGTGGTGTTCTACTCGTCGTGTCGTGGCTACTGTTTAGGGGTGAAAAAATGATGGCGATAAGGAAACCATCAATCGGGGCGCAGAGGGAGGAAGGAGGGGAGGAGAAGGAATCTAAGTAGGAGAAGAAGTGCATAAGAGAAGGAAGAGAAGAAGGGGAGGAGAAGGAGAAGAAGGTGGAGGAGGACGACGAGGATCGGGGGGCGGAGGAGGATGAGGAGGAGATTTCAAGAGAAGTCAAAGCTTCGGACCTATCAAAACTTGTTCGTAAAACAACTAACGGGTTCTTGGTGATGTTCTACTCGTCTTGAAGGGGCGCGGAGGTTGGAATAATGGGAGGGAGAGAAGAAGGAGATACAGAAGCGAAATAATAGGAGAACGAGGATAGCTAAGGAAGAGAAGGAACATAATGACAGAAAGAGAAGGATAGTAAGGATGAGGAGCGAAGAGGAGGAGAAGAGGATGAAGAGCGAAGGATGGGGAGCGAGGAGGATGTGACATCGATGAAAGGATCACTCATGGTGCTATGCATGATTTGAAGATCAGTGCGACGATGCGAGCTTTGCTGGTGATTCTAAAGTTCCCCCCCGCGCCTCTTGTGGCAACTTGGTCCCACAGACACCCCGTGGATAAGTGGATAAGCAGATAAAGGGGGTGAAGGGGGGGGTCACCTTTATTCTCGTCGGCATGCGGTTACATTTTCCGCGTTCTAGTAGACGCGCCGGGGGAGGGGCTCCACCCCCGCCGACAGAGAAAAATCTGTCCCCTCCTCCTCATCCTCCATTCCTTTTCTTAATGAATACCTTCTCCATGTCGCACCCCTGGGCCAGTTTTCAGGGCGGGCCGGGCTTTTCGCTTGAGACTTCGTCACCATTTTGACTCTGAAGCTTAAAAAGTGACAACAGCTTCACAGATGGAGGGCGGGTCGTTTTCAAAATGTGGCTCTCGCCTCAGCGCCGCGCACATTGTTCTCAAGAAGAATACTAGAATTTCACATTTTGAGGGCCTTTGTTTTTCAAAATGTGGCTCTCGCTTCAGCGCCGCGTGCATTTGTTTGTTAAATTTGCAAGGGTTTCAAAGATTGAGGGCGGGTCGTTTTCAAAATGTGGCTCTCGCCTTAGCGCCGCGCACATTCGTTTGAAACATCTGCAAGAGTTTCACGGACTGTGGGCGGTTCCTTTTCAAAATGTGGTTCTCGCCTTAGCGCCGCGCACGGTCTTTCTGAACTGAACACTTGCAAGAGCTTCACGGATTGAGGGTGGTTCCTTTTGTAAAATGTGGTTCTCCTCTTAGCGCCGCGCCCATTCGCTTGAAACAATTGCAAGAGTTTCGCGGATTCCCATGATCAACGTACCAGAAACGATGTTTTGAAAGGACTCAGGATTATGCGGCTGCAGAAGTTATGTTGGTTCGCGGTGTTGAAATCCCAAGAAATCGTTCTGGCAGGAGTCCGGATCGTCAAGACGCAGCAGTCAGGTTGATCCGTGGTGTTGAAATCCCGAGAACAATGTTTTGGCATGATTCCGTATCTTCAAACGGTTATCTTCCAACGAGGCAGTTCCCCCAATGGACATGAACCGCTGTAGGGGCTTATGAAGAGGGAGTTTGGAGGGAGGGGTTAATTCCAACATCGTTGATGACTCTTGGTTTTACACTGGTCCTCCTACTGATCGTCCTTCTCCTTCTCCCACTCCTCCTCCTTCTCCTGCTTCTCCTTCTCTTTCTTCCACTCCTCCTCCTCCTCCTCCTGCTCCTCCTCCTCCTCCTCCTCCTCATCCTCCTCCTCCTCCCCCTCCTCCTCCTCCTCCTCCTCCTCCTCCTCCGCCTCCGCCTCCTCCTCCTCCTCCTCCTCCTCCTCGGACAACCACCGCGCGCCGAGGGCGCTGTGCAGCACACCGCGCGGTGCGCCGATGAGGCGAGGTTGGCCCCCCTTGTCGGGGGGAGGGTGAACCCCACTGGGTTGCCGAGCGCGGAGCGGGGTCCTGCGCACCGCGATGTGGTGGGGCCGCCCCGTGTGGCGCGGCTTCCCGGCGCGCAGCTCGAGCACATCCTCAGAACATCGAAGAAGAAGAAGCAACGCTATAAACATAAACTGTTGGCGCTCCGCGCGGATTTCTTGCATCCGCGCTGGGCCCCCGCGGCGACCCCTCTGGCGCCGCTCCCGGGCGCTCTCCGCGCGGCAGGGAGGGAGGCCCCAGCGCAGATCCAAGAAATCCGCACGGAGCGCCAAAAGTTCATGTGTATGCCTCGCTAGGGCTGCCCCTGCATGATTCCCCCCGCGGTCCATGCGGATGCGATCGCCGCCAACTTTGAGGCCACACGAATTCCTCCTCGCCCCGGGGTTGCGATTCTCACCTTCTGCCCAGCCTTGCTTTGTCGACTGTTTTGCATGTCTATGGCCAGAGCGATCGCTACGTGTTGGTAGTGACCACTTTTACCAAGAATGCGAAGGTGTTTGGGGTGCTCCTGCGTTCATGCGCACGCGAGTGAAGCGATGGAGGTTGTTTGCATACCGGTCCATCGCAGAAGGCTTGGTGTGGTTTAGGGTTGTCTTGACATTTGCATTTTTCCGCCACGTGCGATCTTGCTGTGTTTCGGGCCCTGGGGGCCATCACGGATCCATCCAGCTCGAATAATGCCGCAGTAAGATGGGATGCGGGGCTCCGGTCATGATTCTTCACGATGTTGAATGTCTTTCGCGTCGCCGACTCAGGATCTGCTTCACCATTCTTGGCGGCGCTGTCCCGAAGGGGAGCGGGGTGAGAGGTGCGGCCCGGTTGGCTCTCCTGGAAGAGGGCGCGTGGTTCTCAGGATGCGGGAGGGCTTCCAAGAAGCCCCCCCCCCGCCTTCTTCGAATGCCAGCCCCCTCGCCCCAACCGCTTGCGAGCACCACCAGCTTTTCCTCGTCCCCCTTCTCAGGGGGGGCAAGAAGTCATGATGCAGTCGGACCGAGGTATAAGATCGAGGTCGGTTCGGCGAGGGTACCCTATTGTTCTTCGTGGTTGTCTGATGGTCTTGTGTACCCTCGGGACGGTACCCTTGCATGTCCTGTGCGTTTGGGCTGGCGGATGGTTTCATGTTCTTGAGGGATGTTCTTCTGGCTTGGGTCCGATTGTACTTATCTTGAGCCCATGTTATCATGGCATCATGTCGAGACATCCGACGACCTTGTTTTGTTCCATGCGCAGTCCAAGAGGTTCTGATCCCTCCCCTGGAGACGGTCTTTCACCCCCGATCCATGTCTGATGGTCCCTGGACCCGGCAACTGGCCCTGGGGGCCCAAACCGAGGAAGCACCGCCACATGCAAACATCGGGCCGGGAGATGTGGGCTCCATCCTTCGAGTAGAAAAACCGATTGCATAACTGATTTACCACGAATTGCTTTCCGTCGACTCCACGAACGAATGCTTAGATCTACGAGCATTGTCGGAGATTTGGGTTCTCGTCCTTCGAGTAGAAAATCGATTCCAGAATTGATCTACCCCGAAGTTGAAGTTGTGTTCCGTCGACTCTACGAACAAATACCTAGAATCTATTTTTTATCTACGAGCAGTACACGTATTTGTTTGTGGATTCGACGGAATCTTGGGGTAAATCACTTCTGTAGTCGATCCCGCATTTGGATCCTGCCTTCCCCCTAACCCTAGAGCCTTGTGCAGGCCACGAACCGGGCGCGGGCGGGCTGATGGTGTGTGGGCAGGGGGGGAAGCGGGTGGAGAGGCAGGGCGAGGACCAGAAGCAGGAGGGAGGGCGAGGAGGAGGAGGCAGGGCGAGAACCAGAAGCAGGAGGGAGGGCGAGGAGGAGGAGGAGGAGGAGGAGGCAGGGTGAGAACCAGAAGCAGAAGCCAGGGCGAGGAGTAGGAGGGCGAGGAGGAGGAGGAGGCAGAGCGAGAACCAGAAGCAGGAGAGAGTGCCACGAGGAGGAGGAGGAGGAGGAGGAGGAGGAGGAGGAGAGGAGGAGGAGGAGGAGGAGGAGCCCTGGCCCTGGAGGAGCCCTCCCTGCCTGCCCCCAGGCGCCGCCCGCCCCGGCCGCCCCCGCCGCGGAGGGCTCGCGCGCCGGCCTCCCCGCGGGCCGCGCGCCCGCGCCGCCGGCGGCCGCGGCGGCGCCCGCGGGCTCTGCGAGCGCGCAGCTGGCGAAGCTGCTGGTCAGAAACAGGCGCCCCCGGCGGCTCGACCCCAGACGTGCTCGCGTCGAGTGGAGCCCCAAGCATGGATCAACTCCTCCTTTTCGTCCTCCTCCTCGTCCTCCTCCTCCTCCTCCTCCTCCTCCTCCTCCTCCTCCTCCTCCTCCTCCTCCTCCTCCTCCTCCTCGCCCCGAGGGGGCCCCTCCCGTAGGGGAGGGGTCGGGACCCTAGGGTCCCCCTGGCGCGGGCGGGGAGCGCCCGGCCCGAGGGGCGAAAAGCCCCCGCACCCCGGGGGACGGTTTCCTTCCCCCGGGGGGGTCGCCAGGTCCCGGGGCCTCCCCCAGGGCGGTGCTGGTTCCCCCCAGCGCTCGCCGCCTTGGGGCGGGACCGGCGGCTCGTCTCTGTCGTGTCGTTCGTCCGTGTCGTGTCGTTCGTGTCGTGTCGTCCGTTTCGTCCCCCCGTCGTGTCGCGTCGTGTCGTGCGGGTTGGGCCCCTGGGGTGGGTGGCGTGGGTTTGGCTTGGTCTGGCCCCCCCCCGTTCTGTCGGCTGCCGGGTATTTCCGGCTGGGCCGTTTCCGGCCGACAGAACGTGGGGGGGGGAGCTGGCCAGCTATTCCCATGCTGCCCGCTTGCGGGGGGCCCGCGTGCGCCGTGCGCCACCCGCGCCGTGAGTGCACCGCGGCCGGCCGCGCGCCCGCGCGCGGGCGCCCGCCGGCCGTGGGGGCGCGCGGCTTTAGTGCTGTGCACTCCCCCTCTCGAGGGCATTCCAATCCAATCCAATCCTCCTCCTCCCCCTCCCCCTCCCCCTCGTCCTCCTCCTCCTCCTCCTCCTCCTCCTCCTCCTCCTCCTCCTCCTCCTCCTCCTCCTCCTCCTCAACCCGAGACCCCAGAGGAAAGATAACTATGCACATACACCGACTCTGGCCAGGCCCATCCTGAGCCCAGGATCGGCGCATACGCCCTCCTGCCTCGGCCAGGAAGGTATATGCACCGATCCTGCGTCGGGGATGGGCCTTGCCAGGATCGGTGCATGTGCACAGTTCTCTTCGCCCGCAAATCAGGGCGGGGGGCTTTCCATCGTTTTGGGCCTCTGGGGGCTTCAGGGCTCAAGAGGCAGGGGACAGTGCAAACGGCAGGGGGCTCAAGAGACGGGGACTCAAGAAACGGGGGTCAGAAACAGGCGTCCCCTGCGGCAGCCCCAGACGCGCTCGTGTCGTGACAAATAGAAGAAGAACACAAGTAAAAATAATAAGGATAATAATACTGAGAAGACGAAGAAGGAAATCATACTAAGAAGAAGAATAATAAAAAATGGAGAAGTAAACGACAACAAAACGCCATAAGCATACACTTCTGTCGCTCCGCGCGGGTTTCTTGGATCTGCGCTGGGCCCCTCTGGCGGCGCCTCCCGAAAATTCATGTTCATTCGCGCGGGCGCCCCCGGCGGCAACCCCAGACGTGCTCGCGTCGTTACCAAATGCGATCGTCTTCTTACTCGCTGTTTTGCCGATCGGCGCGTGCCCTCGCACCCCCTTTCTCCCCCCCTTCCATGGAGTAGATCTTGGCTGTTTTGGGCGCCTGTTTCAGGCAGGTGGGGTCTCCCCTATAGGACGCACTGATGGAAACAGTCGCGTTAAGCAGAGATCCTGAGCCAGACCCCCCCGCGGCGGCAATCCCAGACATGTTGCGTTCCATCGCTTTCGGCCTCTGGGGCTTTCGGGGCTCACGAGACGGGGGTCAATGCAAACGGGGGTCAGTCAGAGCACCAGATTTTGCAGGATCCTGCAGGGCCAGGGGTGCGCTGGCCCGGGCTCGGGCGCAGGACTCTGCAGGATCCTGCAGGATCTTGCAGGCTTCGCAAAGCCCGACGTAGACCCGGATCAGGCGCCCCTGGCGGCAACCCCAGTCGAATAACAACAAACGGCATAAACATAAATTTGTAGCGGTCCGTGCGGATTTCTTGGATCTGCGCTGGGGCCCTCAGGCGCGCTCCTTACGCAATTTGTTTCGTTCGTCTACCCAGACATTTGGACGGAAGGTGCTCGTCCTCGTCCTCGGCCTCTGGGGGCCATTTCGCCGAGCCCCTGGGAACGTCACAAGACGACTCGGGAGGAACGCGTGTCGCATGTCGCATGTCTGGGACACCCTAGGGTCCATTTCGATACGATTGATCCGATTCGGCATCGCTTCCAGACGGCCCGATCTGATTCGATCCCGATGTTCCGACGATCCGATGGGTTCCTGGACGTTTGCATGGTGTTGTTGTGCATCCTGGCGCAGGCGATCCGATTCGATTCCTATTCCGTGCCGATGCAGTCCGAACCCTGAAGATGGCTACTCCACAGGGATGTGGGAGTGAATCGCGTGGGGGAGGTCGGAGTTCTCAACCTGGTGACGCAGAGAAGCGGGTTTCGCCGTGCGGGCCCTCGCGCGCCAGCCTGCCGCGCAGGAGGCCGCACGTGAGCGCCCTCCTTCTCCGCGCGGCGTGCAACCGCTGGCGGCCCGCGTCAACCGCGGCGTATGGTCGCAATGTTTTCTTGCGTAAGTCAGGAGGGAGCGAAACACACAGACACAAGTAATCGTCGAGCCCCAGGACAATATGGGAAAATATGGGAATTGGGCGGGAAGACAAACAAAAACCCGAAAATATGGGGAAATATGGGAAATCATTTTATCTGCGTGTATTTATTTGTGTGTCCCAGGGCCCCTTTAGTAAGTCCCGTTTCTTTTCGTCGCTCATGTGGGGGGGATCGCGGGGGGGGTCCCTGAGATCCGACGTCGCAGTAGAGCTGCAACATCGCGGAACACCACCTACGGGAGCTCCAGACCCCACCCGTCTGCGGCACTCTTCGAGCCAGATCGATCCAGGAAGGTCCCCGGGGCCCGAAGCAAGGCAAGATTGCTCGTTGTGGGAAAGATTGCGACGCCAGGATCTCATGTACCCCACCTGGGTGGGCAAGTTGGCCAGCGGGGCCACGGCCACGCCAGTGGGGACAGGGATCGGTGGAACTGGGTCTTCCTTCCCCAGGGGTGCATAGATAATCGCGCCGCGCGCGTCGCGGCCCGGTTGCAGAGGCGCCCTTCTCCGGGGCGGCGGCGCGAGGGCAGTTGGGGGCCCAGGCACCTGGCCGCTCCAATTCTTTCGATGCGCGGGCCCTGGAGGTCTGGAGCACTTCCCCGAGGCCAGCTCCTCGCCCCGAGTCGCTCCTCGACGGCCCCGAGGCCCAGCGAGGACCCCCGGAGGCCGAAGACGTCCCAGCACCCGCCGCTCCGCTGTCTTGGAGCGTCGGCTCCCCGGGAATCACCACCCACCAATCCACCCCAACCCAACCCGAAGGCCTCAATTTGCCCTCCATTTCCAGTGTGGGGGGGTCCGGGAACATCGACAAAACACATATGGAGCCCATACCCCCCCCAACCCGAAATTCGGGTCTTCGGGTTGGATTGGGGTGGTCTGGTAGGTAGTCAGGGAAACCCCCCCCCGCGCAGGCCCGCGGCGGCGCTCCTGGCCGCAGGCCCGTCCGCGCGCCCTCCGCAGCAGCCCGTCGCGCCCCTGCCGGCCCGCTGGGCGCCACCTGCGGGCAGCCAGCGCCCACCCGCCGGCGCGCCGGCGGCCGCTGCCACCACGCCGCTGTGGGAGTTGGCGGTCGGTGGTTCGAAGATGCAGAGGAGGAGAAGGTGCCCTACACCTTAGGCGATGCTTAAGAAAACTTAAGTTTTCGGCCAGAGTCTCGATTTTTCTTACAGTTTCAATGTAAATCCTAAGATTTTAATAGACATGTTGGGTTTTTATTCAAGTTGTGAGACTATGAATTTCTTAACCCATGATTTCTTAAGCATCTCGCAGGGTGTATACCTCTACCCTTCGCCCGCGTTTCGCCGTTCTGGGCCTCCCAGGAGGCCCTCGTCGCCGCCGGATTCGCCTCGAGATGCAGGTCCGAGCGCACCCCGGGGGAGGTCCGGGGAGTAGCGGTATCGGTACCTTCTGTTGTTATGCCCAAAGATGGGGTCCTGAGGGACGGGGTCCTAAGGACGGGATGCCTCAAACAATGTGGATCCACGCGTGGATCCCGTCCCAGTTGTCCTCTGGCCCCCATCCCTCAGGACCCCATCTTTGAGCCACCGAGGCGGGGCGCGGCAACGGCGCGCGGGCGGCGTTGGGCAGCAAATCATGGGAGCCTGATGTGTCCTCGCAGCGCTCGGCTACGCGTAAGAGTGGCCCTTCGCCGGAGTGACCTTTTGGTGCGGGCACAGAGGGGGACAGAGGGGTCCGGACAGCATTGGCTGGCGCGCTTGGATTGCTTGGGCTTTGCCCTCATAGCGGCCCCCGCTAAGCCGCTCACCAGGGGTCGTTCTTGCCCAGGGTCACTCTTGCGTCTAGCTGAGGAGCGGACGGGGCGCGGCAACGGCGCGCTGTTGGCGTTCGGTAGCAAATCATGGGGGCCTCGTATGTCCTCTCAAGTCCGTGGCTAGAGTGCTTTCGCGTGTGCTGGCGCCTGGTAATCGAGGGGAGAGCGCCGATTCAGCGTCGAGCCAGCGTTGATGAGAGTCGATCCAGGATCGATTCGTGACGGCTCGCGTCGATGAGAGGTCGGCCAGTGTCAAGAGGCAGCAGGATGGCGTGGGAGGCTCCCGTGAGTTGCCACCGCAGGTGGCGGTGGAGGCGTCGGTGGCTTGCGTGGGTGGGCTGCGGCGTGAGGCCAAGGGCGGAAAAAGACGCGCGGGGGAGCGCCAGCCGAGTCCACGGCAGTTTGCCCTGGCCCTGGCATCGCTCGGATGTGTGCACTTTTTTCTCGGCGAGAACCATCGAGGACCATCCTGGACCATCGCGCAACAAAAAACACGCACGCAACCGAAAAATGCACGGGAAATGGACGTCCGAGCGATGGCAGGTTGGGGGGGAGCCTCTCGGCGCCACACCTGGGCACACACACACACACACACACACGCACAGCAGCCGCGACCAGACGGCGCATCAGCAGGGAAAATAATTGCGACAGGTGGCAGCGTGCGAGCACATGCGAAAATGCACGAACACATTATGAACTACTCGACTGTGCCGCATGTGGCCTGGTTGCCGACCATGGAAAGGCCTGCTTGTGTCCTGTGGGGCGTGATGCGAAGACCTGCAGACAGCTCGGGAAACCCTCGTGCGTTTGGACCCCGGGAGAGGAGGAGGAGGAGGAGGAGGAGGAGGAGGAGGAGGAGGAGGAGGAGGAGGAGGAGGAGGAGGAGTCCGGAGACAAATTCTGAGCTGCCGTCGTGTCAAGCCGCCCTGCTCCAAGATGCCGATACCCCGCCACCCTTCTCTCGTCGGCCACGGCCGGGCTCCTCGCCTGAAAGTCCTGGCCAGAACTCGCCCCTGGAGAGGTCTGGGGAGTAGCGGGGGTGGACAGAACCCCCAACCAGGACACGTCGAGTAGTGAATTGTCCGTTTGCGGTTCTCGAGATGGCGCCGTGGCCGTTATTTTCCAGGCCTGCGCCCGCCAGGTTTGGGCTCCTCAGGTCGTTTTCACTAAACCACGTTTTACTAAAGGGGGGTCTGTCCATCCCCGAGAGTAGCGGTGTCGGAACGGCAGGTTCGCGTCGTGTCGACTGGCGGCGACCCCGCCGCCAGCGTTCAATGTTGAACGCCGCCAGGGACCCAGAATCGGTCGATGTTGAGCGATCTGACTTTTCGACAACGGCCGATCGTTTCAGGTGAAACGATCCTCGCGGTGTCAGGAACCGACGACAAAGCCGACACGACACGAGCTTGCCGTACAGCCAGGACGCTAAAAGAAGGACCGCTTTGGGCTCGGAAGGGGCAATCTATTCCTAAGGTCATTCCATATTTGCTCCTCAAGCCCTCCTCGTGCACCCAGGCGCCTCTGGTGCCAAAAAAGGTCTTCGTTTCTTATTGCGAAGGCCTTACGGCCGGCGCCGCCGACCCCCAAGGGAGACGATGACGACGACGACGACGACGACGACAAAGGCGGCGGCGACGACCACGACGCTGACCTGAGCCAGAGTCCTAAGGGATGCTTCTTGGGGTCTCGTCGGAAGGCTCTTGGGGGCCTCTGGGAAGGAACTCGGGGGCCAAAAGAGGTCGTTGCTTCTTATTTATAGTTTCTCCGCCGTCCCAGTTCGCATCAACCTGGCCGCATGGTGATGTGCCCGTACCCATGGGGAACCGTGGGGCAGGCAGGACTGTCCTCGAGGAGATCTTTGGAGATGTGGCTCGCACCCTGCCGAAGAGAGCCGATAGACTGCCCCAGAACGCGCCAAGATGGCTCAAGAGAGCTCCATCAGAGTGTCGAGACGTACCTGGGTTGTGGGTCAGAGTCCTCATGGATGCTTGCGGTCTCTTCGGAGGGCTCTCGGGAGCCTCTGGGGAGCTTCTCGGGGGCTTCTTGGGGACGTCTTGGGGGTTCCTGTGGGCCTGTTGGGGCTTTCTGGGAGCCTGTATGGGGTTCTTGGGAGTTGCTTGGGGCCTCTTGGGGCCTCTTGCGGGGCTCTTGGGGGCCTCTGGGGGCTTCCTGGGCGCCTCTTGGGGCCGAGAGCTAGAAATTTCTGTTGCGGTTCCCTCTCTGGGGCCCCCTGTTGGGGCCATCTGGGGGCCGCCTTAGAGACCTTTTGGGCCGTCTTAGGGCCATCTTGGGCTGTAAGGGGGCCCTCTTGGAGGCTTTTTGCATCGTTTTGGAGCGAGCTTGGCGGCTGGCAGCTCGAAAAGGCAGTACCGCCAAAATCGCCCGAAAGCCCAACCAAAATCAATTCTGTTTGCGTCTTCGGAGCCTCTCGAAGTCCTCTTGGAGCCCTCCTGGAGCGTCCTGGGTGCTTCTGGGGCCGTCTTGGGACCAACGTGGGCCATCTCGGAACGCTCTTGACCTGAGGCCGTGGAGCGTGCCACCCTTTGAGCGCCTCCTTGGGGCGCTCGGGGGGGCCCCGAGGCCGCGCCCGGGAGTTCTGGCAGCTCGGGCCCGACCCTGCCGGGACTCTGCCGGGGTACGCTCCGTCCGCAGACCCCCTGCAGGGGCCGCCACGCGCCCGCGAACTAGAAACATTCTTACGGTAGGTTCGCGTCGTGTCGACCGGCGGCGACCCCGCCGCGGGCGTTCAAGGTTGAACGCCGCCAGTGGCCCAGAATCGGCTTATATGGAACGATCGAGCGATCCACAGTCGCCGATCGTTCAAGGTTGAACGATCCACGCGGAGTCAGAAACGAACGCCGGGGTCGTCCCGACACGAACCTGACGTAAGTTCTTACCGGCGATTTTAGCACGCCTCTGGACCGTTGGGCCGGTGAATTTCAGCAGCCCGACTGCACTTCGTGGCCCTCTCCACGAGGACCTCAGCGGGCAGCCCGGCGAGTCGGTGGCCACGCGGACGATGACCCTGCAGCAGGGGGCGGCCGTCTGCCAGTGGGTCCTGTGGGCGGGCGCCGCGGAGCGCTGGGGGCCGCAGCTGGAGGGCGGGAGGGGGAACAGGCACCTCTACCGCTGCCCTCGCCTCGCGGTCGCCTTTTTGGGAGGGGTGCCTGGGAGGCCCTCGTTGCCACGGCTGGCTCCGCCTCGCAGTTCGCGTCGGAATTGATGGGCTTGTTTTCCACCAACACCACCATAAGTTGGAGGGGGAGGGGGTCCTCCTCCTCTCTTCCTCCTCCTCCTCCTCCTCCTCCTCCTCCTCCTCCTCCTCTACGTCCACCTCCTTCCCCCCTCCAACGTATGGTGGTGGTGGTGGTGGAAAACAAGCCCATCAGGAATGCACCCTGGGAGAGGTCTGGGGAGCAGCGGTGTCGGTACCTTCTGGTCCCCTCAGGAGGGCAGGCGCGTGCGGGTGTTCGGCGCGCGGGTGCAGGAGATCATGGGCGCGCTGCAGCTCAAGGGCTGCACCCGCGTGGAGGTCTGCGAGGCTCGAAGAAGAAAGGACGGCGCGGACAAGGGCCGCCCCGAGGGTGCGAAATTGTTCGCGACTTGCGGCTCGCGACTCCGCATCCTCATCCTCCTCGTCATTATCTCCCTAAGGGTATGACGACTTTTCGCCAGTCGACTTGAGGGGAGCGAGCCAAACAAATCATGGCACATGCAGGTTAATCGAAGCAGATCTAGGCACATCTGGATAAATCCAGGTAAATCCAGAGATTCAAGGGAAGGTTGGAGCAAATCGCGGCCGCTCCAGCACGAGTCGAGTGACGTCAGAAGTCGTCAAGCCCTTAACGATTATCTTCTCCTCCAGGGAGGCGGCGCGAGAGCGCGAAGTTCTTTGCGCTTTGCGCAGCGCGCTGCGCGAACTCGGCTGCCCTTGCATAACCATATCGTTCGGAGTTCCGCGCTGATTTCTTGAATCTGCGCTGGAGCTCCCTTGTCAGCGCCTCCGGCGCCGCCCCCAGCGCGCCCCGCGTGCCAGGGAGGGGGGCCCAGCGCTGATCCAAGAAGTGCGCACGGACCTCCGAAAGTTTCGATCTATGCCGCTTCCTCTTCCCCTAGGTCTGCGAGGCACCTGGCCACGAGGGTGGCCCTGGGGGCGAGCCGCAGGGCTGAGCCGGGCCATCGGGGGCGGCTTGGAGGGGCTTGCGGCCGACCACTCGATGCCCTTTGCGCTTCTTCTGGGGGGCAAAGATGGGCGGAGGTGGGAGGGAAAAGGTGGACGGTATGCAGCTGCCTGCCGCAAGTCCCGGTAACGTACCAACCCAGCACCCTGGGTGGCGACTGCACGAGGACAGCACAGGAAGCCGTCACGTGTGATACCTCGTGTCCCGCGGCTTGGGAGATCCGTGAAACGCGTTGTTCCGCTTCGTGCCGGTTTGTCTCTGTTCGCGTGTTCGTTGTCTTCTCTTCTTCCTCGACTTCCTTCCCCTCTTGGGGACGTCCTGGGGGCCTCTTGGGTGTCTCTCGGGGCCTCTTGGGGGCTCCTTTTGCCGTCGTAGGGCGCTCTCGGGCGGCCTCTTGGGCCGTCTTGGGCTGGCCGAAGCCCGAAAAGGTGAGAACGAGGAAGTAGTACTTGCTGAGCCATGGGACAATCGATGACTTCAGCCTCTTCAGAGGCTCTTGGGAGTCCTCTTGGGGCTCTCTCAGGCCGTCTTGGGGGCGTCTTGGCTTTTCCTTGAGGCCATCTGAGGACGTGTTGGGGCCACCTGGGGCCGTATTGGGAGACATCTCGGGACATCTTGGCGGCCTTGGTGCCATTCTGGACGCCTCGGAGAGCCCCAGAAAGGCGCCAGCCCGCCTAGGGACCCTTCAGAGCGGGGAGCGATGCACGCCCCTGAGCGTGTCGAGAGGTAGGGGTTACCCCTAGAATTAATCAGAAACCCCACCGAAAGCCCGCTAAGATGGCCCGAATGTATTCGCGGCTCGCGATTCCTCATCGTCGTTTTTCTCGTCCTCTTCTTCTCGCCCTGGGTGCGGCGCGAGAGTGCGAAGTAATTCGCGCAGCGCGACGCACGAGCATACGGTAGGTTCATGCGGCGTTGGCGCGCCAGCGACGCTGGCGGAGGCGTTCAAGGTTGAATTCTGCGACGCGGAAGCACCGAGGAACACAGTTACGCCATTGGACCCGACGGAATTCAACCTTGAACGATCGGGGCCGAGATCGATTCAAGGTTGAATGATCGACGTGGTGTCGAAAACCTTTGCGCGCGCCGACGCCGCGCGAACCTACCGTAGCTGCCCTTGCCTACCACAGAGCGCTTGGCTTTTACAATGCCTCAACGTGCCAGCATTGCATTGCCGAGGGCATATTCTCTGGCGCTTCGTCGCCCGAGGTCCCCCTGCTGCGTACCGGAGGGCTCCCAGGGCGGACAACCCTCTGAGGGTGGTGCCAGGCGCAGAGGGAGTCAGTGAGAGGGGAGGGGAAGGGGGGATGAGAAGGAGGAGGGAGGGATGGGGAGAGGAACGAGGCCTCCCATCGACCAGATGGGGGAGAGGGAGGTTGGGAGGGCGGCGATTTGATCGCCTGCTGAGATGTACCCAAATCCCAACCAGCCTGCATCGCCGCATGCTGACAGCCGTTTCGGTTCAATTCTGCCCGCATTGCAGCCTGGGGCAGCCCTGCCAGCGCCCCCGCCATCAGCCCGACGTCCCCTGAGATCCGGCGTCACGAACACCCTGCAGCATCGTAAGGACCTCGACCCCATTTTTCTGCTGCACTTTCCGAGCCGCAGCGACCCGTGAGGGCCCCAGGGCCTGCAGCAAGGCAACACCGCCAGTTGTGGAAGTGGAACAAATGCAACGCCAGGATCTCAAGGTTGGGCCACAAAGAATGCATACACATGAATTGTCTGAGCTCCACGCGGATCTCTTGGATCGGCGTTGGACCCCCTTCCCTGGCGCGCGGAGCACGCCAGGGGCGGCGCCAGGGGCGGCGCTAGTTGCGCCGCCAGGGGCGCCCAGCTCCGATCCGAGAGATCCGCGTGAAGCTCCGACGTTTTATGTTTATGCGGTTTTTCTTCCTCGAGAACCGTTGAGCGATGGCAATGGGGCTTCTGGTCCTCGGCATCGTCTAACCTATCCCCATCCCCACTGGGCTATGGTACCAGCCCACCCTTTCAGGTGGGGATAGGCTCAGCGAGACGCAAAGAAACAGGCATGTTCTCCCACCTGGGGTGGGCAAGTCTCGATGACCCTCAGGACGTGTGTTAGCCCAATGAGTGTCAACCCCGTTCGGCCTGCGTCGGCCATCGTTACACCACGTGCGTCGTGTTGAAGGGCTTCGATGGACCAGCACACGTCGGTGCTGACACACGTCCTGAGGATCATCGAAGATCACCCCGGTGTGGGGCAAGGCACGCCAGCGGGGACGGGGATCGGTGGAGCAGTGCCCAGGTCCTGCTGGGCTCCCTCGCCGGGCACTCCGCCGCCGCGCGGCTGTCGCGCAGCGGCGGCGCGGAGGCGCGCGCCGCGGCCTCCGAGCTATCAGGCCGTCGGGGTGGACGAGAGGTCGTCAGCAACCAAGGGTTCGAATATGAGATCGGCTGCAGAATTGACTTACCCCCCAAAGCATGTGTCCCGTCGAATCTACGACCAATGGCTCGAATGTTTGCAGTTCTACGCGCGTTGCACGTGTATGTCGTAGACTCGACGAGCAAGTCAAGTTTGGGGCAAATCAATTCTGATCACAAACTCGAATCGCGTGCCTTGGGGTTTGAGGTTCGAAGAGGGGGAGCTGTCCCAAGGTGGAGCTAGAGAAAGAACCCAGCTGGATGCTCAAATGTCCTTCTTCCGGGAGCCGTTTAGAACGAATTTTCTCCCAAACCCACCTCTGACCGTTGCCCTCTTCGGGCCTTCCCGGGGGCGCGGCGCAAAACTCTGTCGAAGTCCTCGCCCGCCCTCCCGGCTGCGCGTTGCAAACCGCATCCTCTGCAAGCCGCATCCTTCGGAGTCGCCGAGAGAGGGGGAGAGAAATTGGGCAACGGGAGGTTACGGACGCACTCCCACCTCCTCTCGCTGCAAGCACAACGCGTATGGCATCCTGAGATCCTGACGTCGGATCGTTTTCCAAACGATATCGTCCAACGTCGGGCCCCCGGGCCAGCACAGATCGATCTGGCTCGAAACGTGCAGCAGAAAGACGGGGTCCAGGATTCTGGTGGCAATTTCTCACAATGCTGCATGTTTGTCGCACCGTCGGATCTCAGGATCCACTCGTTGCGAAGAGACACGACGGGAGATTCTGGCCGATTTTCGGCCTCCAGGGGTCTTCGCTGGGCTTCAGGACCGTCTCAAAATGGTTCGGAGTCGAGAAGCGGTCCTGGGGAAAGGGTCCAGACCTCTGAGGGTCGACGTGGTGGAAAAGTCACGACGTCGGAGATGTGGGTGCGGTAGGGGTCATGTGCCGTCGGCGCGCTGGCGACCGCTGGCGCAGGCGTTCAAGGCTGGGCTCCGCATGACAGAACGACGCAGTAGCACCCAGGGACACGGTAGCGCCACAGGAGACCCGACGGACTGAAACCTTGAACGGGGCCGCGATCAGTTCAAGGCTGAACGATCGACGCGGTGTTGCGCACGCCGATGCCGCACAAACCTGCCGTACGGAGTCAGCGCCGGAGAGACCAACCGCGTGAGCCGACTCGTTGATCCTCGCTTCGCCTCCAGGGTGCCCTGGGCTCCTGGGGTTCCGATGGTTTGGCGACGGAGAGCGTGACGTTCCCACACCAACAATCAAGGGACGCCCTGGGCCCTCAGGGTTGGGCTCCTTGTGGGAGGTCTCTGGCGGCCAGGCCCCTGCGGAAGGAATCCGTGGAGGTGGCGCGTGGGCGCCAAATCCACACATCGGGGAAGATTCGGGGGTGGACAGACCTCCTACCCTGACGCGTCGATTAAGGAATTAGCCGTTTTCGGTTCGCGAGAGGGCGTCGCGGCCGTCATTTTTGCGGATCCAGTTCAGTCAGTTTCGGTCCCAGGCTGTTTTCACTAAGGGGAGGTCTACTAAACGGAGGTTTGTCCACCGCCGAAAGATACCCCCCAAAGAGCGCGAGGCCAGCACGGCCCGGTGCGGCGACGGAGCGCGCCGGAGTTCTGTCCAGGAGCGGGAGCCCCGTCGCGAGTCCGTGCGTCGCGAAGCCGTGTGTGCGTTTCCTGTGGGCGGCTCCCCGTGGCCGAGCCCCGTGCAGCATGGGCGATACTGCTTTTGCCAGTTTGAAGCATATCCCTATCCCTATGTTTGACATCACCTCACCTCGGTGCCGATCTCAAGGATTCCCTCAGTTTCTGAGGGCCTATCCCTAAGATTGCCCTCGCTTTTTGCTCGCCCATCTTAGGGATAGGGATAAGTTCGAGGCTGGTCATGATTCGCAGGTCGACCCTGCCAAAGCAAGGGTGCTCTTGCGTCCTGAGCTCCGCGGCCCATGGTTTCTTGCATTCCCGTGGCAGTGTGGCCCTCGGAAAGGGCTTCGTGTTCTCTCGCGTGCCCTCTCCAGACAGCCCCGGCTGTACCGTACGGAGCCGGCGCCGGAGAGCCGCTGTGTGAGCCGCCTCCGCGGACCCTCGCGCTGCCAGTCCCTCGCGAGGGACAAAAACACAGACAAAGTTCATCGTCGACTCCCAGGAAGGTATGGGAAGATATGTATGGGAAGTGGGGGGGGGAATACGAGAACCCAGAAAACATCCGAAAATGTGGGGGAATCCTGGGATTGATGCTTGATCATTTGTGCGTCCCAGGGCCCATTTCTCCCGTCGGGAGCCTTGAGACGGGGGTCACTGCAAACGGGGGTCAGCCAGGGCCGCACTGCCCCGGCTCGGGTGCAGGATCCTGCAGGATCCTGCAGGATCCTTGGCGCTGACCCGGGTCTGGGGGCAGGATCTGGCAGGGTCCTGCAGGATCTTGCCAGGCCTGACTGACCCGGGCCTGGACTGACCCGGGTCAGAATGTCGGGTCGGGCGAAAGGGGGAGGTTGGGAAAGGGGGGGGTTACGAAATCTGCTGCATGTAGCTGGTTTCGGCCCCACCGAGGGGCCCATTCCTCGATCCATGGCCGCCTCCGGCGCCGGGAGGCGCCGGGAAGATCAGCTATACGTGAGCGGATTCTCAAACCCCCCCTTTGCTATCCCCCCTTTCGCCCGGCCCTGGACTCGCAGAGCGGCGGCGCGGCCCGGGGGGGAAGTGAGAGGGGGCAGGCCCTCTCTCGGCGACTTGGATCCGTCGCGTGATGCGAATCGGGGGGGAGTAGGAGGAGGAGGATATGGAGAGGAGGAGGAGGAGGAGGAGGAGGAGGAGGAGGAGGAGGAGGAGGAGGAGGAGGCCGCCTCCGCGGACCCTGGCGTGGCCGGCCCCCCCTGGGCCCGCCCGCCCCCGGCAGGCGAGTGGTCCGCGTGCCGGCGGGCCGAGGCCGAGGAGCGGCGGCCGCGCGCCCCGCGTCGGGAGCAGCCGAGCGAAAGGGAGGGATTGGGAAAGGGGGGGTTACGAAATTTGCTGCATGCAGCTGGTTTCGGCCTCACCGAGGGGCCCATTCCTCGATACATAGCCGCCTCCGGCGCCGGGAGGCGCCTGGAAAATCAGCTACGTGAGCTGATTCTCAACCCCCCCTTTGGTATCCCCCCCTTTCGCCCGACCCGAGTCGAGAGCAGCCGAGCGGGGGAGCGGCGGCAGAGTGGAGCCACGCGCCGAGGTACAGTCCACGCGCCTAGTCAGAGCCCCGAGTCATCAGGGGTAACTCGGGTCAGGGCCAACTCGGGTTCGTTTTTCGGGAATCCGAACCCGAGTTACCCCGGACCCGAGTTACCCCGGAAATTTCGGGCGTCCAGAGCCCCGAGTCATCAGGGGTAACTCGGGTCAGGGCTAACTCGGGTTCGTTTTTCGGGAATCCGAACCCGAGTTACCCCGGACCCGAGTTACCCCGGATAACTCGGGCGCCCAGAGCCCCGCATCATCAGGGGTGACTCGGGTCAGGGCTAACTCGGGTTCCTTTTTCGGGAATCCAAACCCGAGTTACCCCGGACCCGAGTTACCCCGGATAACTCGGGCGCCCAAAGTAAGGACGCGCGCCTTCATCTAGGGTACCTTTGTGTCCTTGCCTCTGAGGCCCGTACTTGCCATTATCACTGGTCGCCCGCCGCCCAAAAAAAAAAACCCAACTGCGGCCTCCAAGGGTCTTGCGTCCTTACCACCCGTCCTTACTATACGTTTTCACTGTACGAGACACGTGCAGACAGGCTAGGCGTAAGAGTGAGCTTTCGCTGGAGTGACCTCTGGTGCGGGCACAGGTGGGCCCTCAGATGGCTGAAGGCGAAGCGGCAGCAGCGGCTTGCGCGCCCAGGTTTGGCCTTCCCGCGGCCCCCGAGAAGCCGCGCACCAGAGGTCATTCTTACCCAGGGTCACTCTTGCGTGCAGCCGATTAGAATCGGGGAAACGTAAGATCGCAGGCTTAGCGGTTGACACCGCCACCAATTCCGGCGGTATGCCTCCACCGATGGAAGAAGATCCCGATCTCGGTGATGGTGGTAATATTATTGTTTCCAAGGTGATCGAAATGCTACCACCAACACCGAAATCTAGGATCATCATCCCCTGAAGGCAACCCCTTGCGTTGGTGTTGGTGCCCATTTCCAGGCCTCCAATAAGAATCGAGTAAGCCAGAACTCGGGTTTGCCGACGCTTTTTGACGAGCGCATCCTGGATTTTGACGGTCCAGTTTTCGTGGGACGTCTGCAGCGGGATGTCTGCAGCGGGAGCTCGTGGGACTCGTTGCAGAGTGGAGTCACCCGCCGATCTACGAGACATTCCCCAATCAGTGTTTGCACTGAAGGGGTCCTAGCGGAAATTAAAAGATTTGACGAAAGTTTCCCGCCGATTTCGGCGGCCGGTTGGATTCCCGGGTTCTTGGTTCCGGGTTCCTGGCTCCTTGGTCAATGGTTCTGGTCCAATTTCAGTAAGTTCCGGGTTGCCAGGTTCCCGGGTTCTTGGTCGATCTCCTTATCGATTTCTTTATCAATCCCATCCCAAACCATCCATTGATTGGGGTTTCTCTCTGGTGTAATGCGTAGATTGCTGCGCAGGTCTCACTCTGCGTGCTCTCCCTAGAGTTGAACAGACGCAGCAATAGTCCGAACGTTCGATGTGCTTTTCTCCTAGAGCTGACGCAGCCAATAATGAGGCTGCTTGGCCCAATCGACTCCGTGGGGGATCTCCTGCCCGAGAGAACCTGCGGCAGGCCTGCCGCCGCTCCGGCGTGCGGCGGCCGAGCTCCGCCGCTCGAGGCCGAGCGCTGCCAGTGGTCCCGCCCGGGCCGTGACCTGAGGATCTGCGCTCTCCAGAAGCCGCGATCGGTCCAGGCTGCGGAGGTCGGTGGGCCTCCTACCCTGACGCGTCGATTACTCCAAACTTCGTCACAAAAGGGAGGGGGTCTCAACCCTCCCAGACGAGAAGTTTTGGACCCTCCCAGATCATCCCTGAAAGGGTGGCCCTTTGCCCAGACCCCCCCGAACCCTCCAAGACAGCTCAAATCAGACCCCCCCCCCAAATGTGACCCCCCCGACTTTCTTATGGAATCCGGTGTACGGAATTTGCCGTTCTCGGTTCGCGAGAGGGCGTCGCGGCCGTCATCTTTGCGGGTCCAGGTCCGTCGGTTTCGGCCCTGGGCCGCTGTCACTAAGGGGAGGTTTACTAAAGGGAGGTTTGTCCACCGCCGAAGAAGCCGCGATCGGGCGAGGTTGATCGGTTCACGCGGTGTCAGAAACCAGCGCGGCCCGAACCTGCCGTACGCATGCCATGAGGGCACTCTTGCAATGATGAGCAGGGCATGGGTCGACCGAAACGGTGTTTGGGCGATTTCGTGGGCCGTTTTCGGTTCCAATGTCGTTCTGCAGCAGAGGTAGGTTGACGATACAGCAATGCAAAACGAAAAAACGGCACGAGCACGAAAAACACTGTTCGGGTCGATCCCCCTGGAGCAGGGTGGCCCTTTGGACCTTTCTGGTCCTCCCCCAGGCCACCTGCCCTGGAGGCTCCGTGCGCCGCAGAGGCTGCCCCCAAGTGCGCCCAAGAGTCCAGGAGGGCTCCCTCTCTCGTGTGCAGGCAGCAAAACACATCTCGTTCTGGGGTTGCAGCCTTGGGGTTGAAACAAAAAAAAAAAGTCCAGGAAGGCTCCCGGATGAATCCAGGAGAGGTCGAGGGGGCCCGGCAGGCTCCAAGGTGAGCCTAAGACGGCCCCAAGGGGGGTCACAGGAGGCCCCCCCACCGCTCGGGGGGCCCAGGCAAGTCCAAACCGCAGGCGGTTCAAAAAATAGCTCCAGGAGGGCCCCGTACATCGGAGCCAAAGAACGCCCAAATCAATTTCAAGAGGTCCCCAAGAGGGTCCATGGAGAAACCCGAAGGCAGCTAGGACCCTAAGAGAGGCCCAAAATAATGGTCGAGCGCCTCAAGATGCCCCAAGAGGGCTCCAAGACGACACCACGGGAGCCCAAGACGGCTCCCAAATGGCCCAAGAGAGCCAAGATACTCAAGAGGACACCAAGGACCCCAATACCAGCCCAGCCCACAAAGCCCCAAGAAAGCTTACGACAGCCCCGAGTTGCCCGCACAAACGCCCCACCATAGAGGCGGAGGAGGAGGAGGAGGAGGAAGGAGGAGAAAAATGAGGAGGAAGAAATGATGAGAAGGGGAGGAAGGGACGAGGGGGAGGTGGAAGTGGCAGGGGAGGGGAGGCTCCTAACTCCTCCGTCCTTCCCTCCCTTCTCATCCCTCCTCCCTTCTAGCTCCTCCATCCTCTTTCATGACCCACCCTCCCCCCTCTCCCCTCCTCCTTCCATTCGACACCCTCCTCTTCTCTCAACCATCCTCCCTACCCCCTTTGGAGGGCGGGGAGGGGGGGCGGTCAGAGAGGCTGGTCGGCTCTCCGGTCGCTTCGAATGTTTCGGGGGGGGGGTTGTCCAGGCAAGCGTCCACGAATCGCGTTCTCTCCTCCTCCTCCTCCTCCTCCTCCTCCTCCCCCTCCTCCTCCTCCTCCTCCTCCTCCTCCTCCTCCTCCTACATAAGGAGAGGGCCAGGGACAGGGATGGGGACAGCCTGGGAGGGAGGGAGGCGGGGAGGGGGAGACACGCCGAGCCGGACCGCGGGTCCAGGCCCCGCCCAGGGAGCAGGGCGCGCGCGCGCTTCGCGCTCGAGGCTCTGGCGCTGGGAGGAGGAGGAGGAGGAGGAGGAGGAGGAGGAGGAGGAGGAGGAGGACGAGGACGAGGACGAGGACGAGGAGGAGGAGGAGGAGGACGAGGACGAGGACGAGGACGAGGGATAACGAGGGAGGCCCCCGGCGTGCGGGGAGCACGGCGCACTTTGGGCGCCCGGGCGTTCGCTGCGCTGTGGATAGGCAGAGAGACAGACAGACAGACAGACAGACAGACAGACAGAGAGAGAGACAGACAGACAGACAGACAGACAGACAGACAGACAGACAGACAGACAGAGGTCCGGTCGAACCACATGGGTTGGCCCGTGAACGGGCGAGGCTACAGCGCAGTGGCCTGAACGAGCACGCGCGCAACGGAGAGCAAACGTTGAGCCTCCGAGTGGGAGGGGGGGAGAGAGGAGGAGAGCGGGGGCGGTCCTCACGCGTGACTGCAACACTCGACGAATGTGTCTTCGTCACGTTGGTGTACAATGGCAGGGGAGGCGATAAGAAAGTGGGGCGAAGGGAGGTGCACATGTTGTGCACTACTGCACTACTGCAAAGGAGCCTTGAAAGGGGCCCCCTGGGGGCCCAAAGGGGCACACGAGAGATGCATGTTCCCCCCGCATGAAATATCCCCCCCCCCCCCGACGAGCAACGCCCGAGGACTTGCAGAAGTGGGTCCTTGAGCGCCGAGCCTCGCAGGTGCAGTGGGAACCCGCGCACGAAAAGGGGCCCCGGAGGCACGAGGCGCCTCGGCGGGATGCCGCAACGGCAAGGGTGGGTCCCTTGGGCGAGGTATGCCGAGGACGCCCTGCGGCTGCAAACCCGGGCCAAGCGCCACAGCGTCCCCCTTCGACGTCGCCTCTGTGCCTTGGGCAGCCCCCCCATCGACCAGAGGAGGAAGAGATGCCCATACCTCTCTCCCCGGCTCGTTCTTCCGCTTCCTGGGCCTCCAGGGAGGCCCTCGTCGCCGCCGCTGGACTCGCCTCGAAGACCCGGTCAGACCGCACCCCGTGGGGGAAGTCTTGGGAAGTAGCGGCATATCGATATTTCTTAGTTCCCCAGAGGGTGCCACCTTTCGGCGTCGCTCCTGTGGCCCCGGCAGCCCCATGAAGGCCCCACCCCACCGGGGCCCCGGCCCGCTGCGCCTGGGCCTCGCTCGGACGTGTGCATGTGGTTCGCGGCAGGGCCCATCGAGGAGGAGCACTCCGCCCTGCGAGAGAATGCACGCGCGAGACCGAAGAACGCACAGGAAATGGACGTCCGAGCGATGGTGAGGTGCCCGAGGTGGGGCCGCTGGCGAGATGCGGTGAACCAATAAGAAGGAACCTCGCAGGCACACGAGCTGCTCTGGTGCTTCTGCTCCCTCCTTCCCCCGGCGCGTGGGTGCTCACACCGTTCTGTCAGCCCAGGCCTCCCGGCTAGGCTCCAAGCATACGGGTTCGGAGGATCGCGCCGCATCACCGATGCATCGGCGACACGGCTCGATGTGGGGCCCGATTTTCTCCACGCCGACGTCGCCGATGCATCGCCGACGTATCGGCGATGGCGATATTTTGTTTTAATTGTTTTGCCGATCGGCGCGGGCCCTCGCACCCGCCCTCCCCTCCCCCCCCCCCAGGAGTAGATCTTGGCTGTTTGGGGCGCCTGTTTCGAGCAGGCAGAGCCCCTCTTCCATAGGACACACTGTTGCAACCGGTCGCATTAAGCAGAGGTCCGGAGCCAGACCCAAGGGCGCCCTCGAGGGCGCGAAGTTATTCGCGCTTCGCGCTTCGCGGTTCGGCTCCGATTCCTCCTCGTCCTCCTCTTCTCCCCTGGAAGGCGGCGCGAGAGCGCGAAGTTATTCGCACTTCGCGCTTCGCGCAGCGCGAAGCGCGAAGTTGGGAGCCCTTGCAGACCCCCCCCTCCCCCCCCTTTCCGCCCAATGTCGAAACGCCGAATAAGAAAACGTTCACATTCGGTGCGATCTGCCGACCACTATTCGGACCCCATTGGGAAAGCCACTAGTCAGAGGCTGGCAGCGCGCATGTCGAGCAGTGGTTGTCTGCGGGGCACGCGCTCTCTCACGCGCACGCTCGCCGTAAGTTCGCATGCGCAGTATGCATGTGTGCATGACGAAGTCATGTCGGCGTATAGTTAAGTCGGGCGTGTCCCTCTACAGGAGGTGTATCCAGACATAGTCTCAATATAGTATGGGGACGATTGTTTGAACATGTTTGGGCTGTTTTTGCATTTCGTTTGACTATGTTTGTTTTTCCTCCAAACTCCACCTGTAGAAGGACATGTCCGACCTAAGCTTATAGCATGAAGTCACGGGACTCCGAGAAGCATAATGAACAAATACACCAGATCAAAAACCCAATCAATGGATGGTTTGGAATGGGATCGATAAAAGAGATCGATAAAGAGATCGACCAGAAACCCGGGAACCCCGGAACCCGGAACCCACCGACATCGGACCGGAACCAATGACCAGGAACCGGGGACCCAGGAACCCAGCCGGCCACCAAAATCGGCGGGAAATGTTCGCCAAATGTTTCAATTTCCGCTAGGACCCCTTCAGTGCAAGCACTGATTGGGGATGGTCGCGACAGAGAGGCGCCAGTTGATGCCCAGCATGTGCAGCCCTGCTTCTCGGTCGAGGGTCGGCCACCACGCCCTCGCAGTGTCGCCTTTTTTCTGCGTGCCCCGAGGACCGCAGCTTCTGGGGCGCGCAGTGGGACTCGCAGGAGGAGGAGCTGCTGCAGGCCCCCGGGGGCCCCCACGGCGTGCCGCGGCACGGGCCCGCACCGGCTGCCACCCCTCGCGTCTCCCCGCCCGCGGCCAGGGCGTGGCACCGCTCCCTCTGCCGGGCGGGGCCAGGGCGTGGCCAGATTCGACTAGACGTAAGAGTGACCCTTCGCCGGAGTGACCTTTGGTGCGCGCTCACTGGGGTCCCCCGATCGCCGCGCTCGTTGCGATATTAGCGTCTTGCGCGCTTGTGTTTGGCCTCCTCGCGCCCCCCAAAAAACCGCGCACCAAAGGTCACTCTTACCCAGGGTCACTCTTACGTGCAGCCGATAGATCTCGAGTGGACCCAGAGGGAGGTCCGCCCTGCACCCGCATCGTGCCGTCAACCCGCACACGTAGTCAGGACGAGCAAATTTCCAAGGTTATCCTCGCATTCTTCCTCCTCGGCCCACCCTGGACCGCTTTCGCTGGCCGCGCCCCGCTCGCAAAGTGTCGACCTGGCCTTCCAAGGCCCTCGCATCCTTCGGAGGGGCTCGATGCAGAGTTACACCACGTCGTTTGGTCGGCCAGGGAGCCCAGGAGTTCGCCGAAGGAAGTCGGTGTACGGACGACCCAGCCTCCACTTGTCGGGCAACTGGGGCGTCTACACACCGAGCTCCCTGGCCGACCGGCCGACGTGGTGTACATATCGAGCTCCTCCCAATCCTTACCGTGCGTCCTGCGTCCTTACAGTGAGCGGCTTGAATAAGGAACACTTAATTTTCAAAAGGGACTCGGTCGTTCCTTAGGCTTGCCTGCGTTATTTATCCTTCCTTAGGCGTTATGTGTTATGTATCGTTCCTTCTGCGTTATTCCCTGGAAGAAAAGGGTCTTCGTACCTATGTATCGTTCCTTAGGTCAGGTCGATGACTGTACAGTCAACCCGCCTGGTAAGGATGGGCAACCTTCTCACGGGTACCCTTGCATCCTAGCCCCGCCAGCCCATACTTAGCGACTCACCCCGCATCGTGATCCAAACGGAGCCCCACCCATGGCTACAATGGGTGGGCTCGCGTGGCGTCCCCGCGCCCAATTCCGCACACCCTTCACCCGGGTCTGCAGGACTCCCTCGATGCGCCTTCCGCCGCTTCGGTTGTCGGGCCGTGCCGCGATCTTGAAGCTCTCGTCCAGATCTTAGTTCCTGGAGAGAGAGACGACCTGCCCCCAGGGACACCGCAACAGAAGAGTTCTTGACGCTTCACTCGCGCCGGGCAAAAGGGGGGGATTGGGAAAGGATGGGTTACGAAATTTGCTGCATGCAGCTGGTTTCGGCCTCACCGAGGGGCCCATTCCTCGATACATGGCGGCCTCCGGCGCCGGGAGGCGCCGGGAAAATCAGCTACGTGAGCCGATTCTCAAACTCCCCCTTTGCTATCCCCCCCTTCCGCCCGACCCGATTCACGTATTCCCACATGCCCATCAAGAAGCAATGTCCAGGCGAGCTGCCGCGATCAGCGAAGTGCAGGAGCAAGCATTGGGACGCAGAGGGGGGCAGCCGCCAAACCGAAGATCGGGATCAGCCCGAGGAGATCCGGGAGTCGACTCAACCTTGGCATCGCTCGGACGTGTGCAATTTTCCTTCGGCGAGGACCATCGAGGAGCATCCTTGATCATTTGGCGAAAAAACCACGCACGAAACAAAAAAAAACACAGGGAATGGACGTCCGAGCGATGGCAGGCAACTGGTTTCGCGGATCTTTCGATATTGGAGCCTCTTGGCAGTTTATTTGTGCTATCTTGGGACCCCCTCAGGGGCATTTCGGAGGCCTTTTTGGGGCTCTCTTGGGTCCTCTCGGGCCTCTTGGGGCAATCCTGGAGGCCATCGGTGAAACACATTAGGGTTCTCAATGTCAATTCCCCCATTGGAGCCAGCAAGGTCGCATATTTTGGAGCGCCCTTGGACGCTCTTGGGGCCGTCTCCGAGCTTTCCTGGGCTCCTCTTGGCGCTCTCTGAGGCGATCCTGGAGCCATCTTGAGGCCTCCAGAGCCGGTCGGAAGCGAAAAGGCGATAAAAGGCAACAATCATCGTTTTTCCTATGGTGTTGGACGGATGTGGGCCTCTCGGGGGCGTCTTTGGGAGGCTCGGAGACGTCTTGCTTCGCTCTTGAGGTACATCGGAGGCTTGTTGGGACCCATGTTGAGCCATCTTGCGATATCTTGAGCGATGTTGGACACCATCTTGGCCTTTCTGGGGCCGTCCTGGGGACACGTTAGGTCATCATGGACGCTCTAGCTCCTATCGGCCCGAGGGGATAAGGGGGAGCGCCGAACCTCACCCCGAAGGGGAAGGAAGGGGATGGAAGAGGGTGGAAGAGCTAACTCGCCAAAACACGCATACCGTATACTGTAGGGTCATGATGCTGTGCCGACGCGGCTGCGACCCCGCCGCGGGCGTTGTAAGGTAGCGCGCCCCCGGCGGCCCGGCATCGGCACATGCGGATGGAGCTGGCGATCGAAAAGCCGCCGATCGTTCGAGGCTGAAGGATCCACGCGGTGTCAGAGACCCGAGGCGAGGTCGACGCGACGCGAACTTGCCGCACGCCCCGGAGGGCTGACGGGATCTTCCGAGGCATCCTCGAGCCCGGCTGCCGCGTGCGAGGCGGGGTGCGACTCGTTGGGGGGATCCCGAGCAGGAGCCCCACAGGTTTCAGCAATCGAGTAGGGGATCGACCAGAGTATTGACTTACACCAGAAAGTTGAGCGGTTCGTCGACATTGCAAGCAAAATACGTGGCACGTTCGTAGATCGGTGTTGTAGATCCGACGAAAATTTCAATGTGGGGTAAACCAATTATGTAGTCGATCTCCTGCTCGAAGCATCGTCTACCCTGTCATCGAGGAAGCCGAAACACGGATTGAGGCGCGTGGATGAGCGAGGGGTCCGTTTCCGCAGAGCGTCGGCGCGCTCCGTCGCCACATGAGCCGACAATTGTGCCATGTGTCGGGGGAGGCGTTCCCCGATCCGTTGATCTGGCATGATGGGCATGTTTTCCACCACCACCACCATAAGTTGGAGGGGGGAAGGATGAGGAGGACGAGGAGGAGGACGAAGAGGACGAAGAGGACGAAGAGGAGGAGGAGGACGATGAACGCCTCCCCCTCCAACTTATGGTGGTGGTGGTGGAAAACAGGCCCATCATGGCACCCACGCGCCAGATCCACGGAGCTCCAATTCGCCGAGCGCGTTCCACTCCTCGCAAAGTGCCCACTCGCAAACGTCCCCCAAAAACACATGTTCGCTTCGATGTATTTTGTCGAAGATCCCCTGTGGCGGATCCAGGCCATTTGCGAGTAGCTACCTTGCGAGTAGTGGAACGCGCTCGTCTACTCATCCACGTTAGCGAGCGCCCGATGTCCCCATCCCGACTGGGTCACGGTATCTGAGTCTCACCAGCCCCCCTTTGCCCCCCAGGTGGGGAGAGGCCCCGCGAAGCCCGCAGGGAGTATCACACCTTTTGACCCGACGTTGCGAACAAGCTGCAACATCGGGAACATGACTACTGGAGCCCTGGAGCCCATACTTCTGCAGCATTCTTCGAGCCAGATCGATCTGTGATGGTCTTGGGGCCCGAAACGGGGCAAACCTCGCCCGTTGGGCAAATTATCGTGGCGAAGGACCCAACCATATGCAGTTGTGAGTACCGCAGGGCAGGCTGGACGATCGAGGGGGAACTCCCCATGGGGCCGCGAACCGCGTGAGACAGGCGAACCCCGTGAGGGGTGTGCCAACATGATGCGGGTACCTTATGCGGGCTGCGGGGGAAACGCATGCAGTGACGGCCGCTGTGACACCGGTGGAGCTCCTTATGGGGCCACGAAGCGTGTGAGGGGCGTGCCGAAATGGGCGGGGGAGGCGCGCGCGAAGACGGCCGCAGGGACCTTCGGTGGAGCCCCTTCTGGGGCCACGAAGCGTGTGAGGGGCGTGTCGAAATGGGCGGGGGAGGCGCGCGCGAGGACGGCCGCAGGGACCTTCGGTGGAGCCCTTGAAGGGGCCACGACACGCGTGAGGGCGTGCCGAACTGGGCGGGTCGGACGCGTGCGGGCGGCGCCCTTGGGACCCTCGGTGGCGGGCCGCGCCTCGGGGACCTTCGGTGGAGCTCCCCGTGGGGCCACGATCCTCGTGAGGGGTGCGCCGACATGGGTGGGTCGGACGCATGCGGGCAGCGCCTTCTGGGGCCTTCGGTGGAGCTCCCTACGGGGCCACCGAGCGTGGTGTGCCATGGTGATGGCGTGATGGCCATGATGACAGCGATAATGATGTTGATGATGTGGGAGCAGAAGCAAGGGTGGGAGGAGGGAGGAGGGAAAGCGAGGGAGGAAGAGGAGGAGGAGGAGGAGGAGGAGGAGGAGGAAGGGGGAGGAGGAGGAGGAGGAGGAGGAGGAGAGGAGGAGAGGAGGAGAGGAACGCGGGGCGCTGTCTTTTCAAAACGAGGACCCAACACCACAGTGTGGTTTGGAAACAATGTAACTCCAGGATCTCAGGGTATATCCCCACCTGGGTGGGAAAGTACGCCAGTGGGGCCACGGCCACGCAAGTGGGGACAGGGATCGGTTAAACTTGGCGATTGACGGAACGCGCCCCCAGACAAGGCGACTGAGGAAATCTGCACCAGTTCATTCGGCATCTGCATTCGAGTGTGCCGGTGCAGCCCCCCGTCGGTTTCGCTAGTCGACGTGCGGTTCGCCAGATACATTCGCTTGTCTTTGGACGTCGATCAGACGTTCCGCCCAGGTCCACTCGGAATACAGTACTGTGCGCACGGTTAGTGCCCTTGCCAATCACTGAAGGGCTTTTGGCGAAATTGAGTTCTGCCCACCCCCGATGAATCGAGTAGGAGATCGACTGCAGAAGTGGCCTCCCCCAGAATTGGCTTCCCATTGAACCTGCGAAGGGTCCGTAACATGCTCCGTAGATCTACGGGCATTCAGCGTCTGTTCTCGCAGATTCCGATCAAGTCTGGGGCACCTCAATTCTATAGTCGATCCCCTACTCGAGCAGTGCCCCCCTGGGAATTCTCACCGAGGGCCTTCTGCGAAGGAGGGCGCCCACCCCCCGATATAAGCGATGCCCGAGGTCCAGGCCGCGGCCGCGGCGATGCGGCGGAGCGCCGCGGACGCGCCCCCGAACGTCTCCGCCCCCCGCCCGGCGAACGCTTCGCGGCCGCCGAGCGCCAGGAAGGGGGGGGGGGGGGCAGAGGGCGGGGGCCACGGGCGAGGCGCCGCAGCAGCGCGAGGCCGCCCGCCGCAGAAGCACGGCGACGCCGGGGGGATCGCAGGGCAGATCCCCCCCCCCTGGGCGGGCAAGCTGGCCCCACGGATGAGGAGGAGGAGGAGGAGGAGGAGGAGGAGGAGGAGGAGGGAGGAGGAGGAGGAGGAGGAGGAGGAGGAGGGAGGGTGAGGAGGAGGAGGAGGAGGAGGAGGAGGAGGACGGGGAGGAAGAGGAAGAGGGGGAGGAGGAGGAGGAGGAGGAGGAGGAGGAGGAGGAGGAGGAGGAGGAGGAGGAGGAGGAGGAGGGGGAGCGGGGATCGGTCCAACTGGGCCACCCTCGGTGGCGCAAAGACCATCGCGCGCTTCGCGTCGCGGCCCGGGCTGCAGAGAGGCGCCCTCCTCCCGGGCGGCGGCGCGAGGGCGGCTGCAGCCAGGACGCTGCAGTAAGGACCGCTCTGGGCTCGCGATGACACGCCAAAAGGCGATGACAATCCTAGGGATTCGCCCTCAAAAAACAAGGGAATCCCTAAGATTGGCATCGTGATGAGGAGGTGCCCAGCACAGGGATAGGGACATGTTCCAGGCTGGTAATGTTTGTGCCCCAGACCTGCCATGGCCAGAAAGGCCCCTTCGTTTGCTCTCTTGCGCGTTCCTTGTGGTAGCACGGTGTGCGACTGGCCCAGGCGTGCTCGCGCCGTGGGAGAAATCACGACGACGGGGGGGGGGCGGGGGAGGGGGGCGTTCTCGGCGGCCGGAGGCCCTCGCCGGGCCCCTGGGACCGGTAAAAGGTGGCCCAGGATGTAAAGCGGGCCCTTGGGAAATGAGCGGGACTTCCAGGGACCCCGTGTGGAACCAAATCCAGACGTCGCAAGTTCAGGGGGCCAGGGTGGGGGGCACGACTGGAGGCAGGGGATACCGCCTCCACTTCTTTACGCTGCCCTGACTCTGGCCAATTGGCCGCGGCGTCTTCCTCCGCGCGGTGAGACAGATTTCAGACCGAGCATGGACAGTAGCGCCTGCATGGGCCGAGCGGCAACTGAGCGACGGAGGAAAACGGTGTCGTCTTCACTGAGATTGGCGCGTAGGCTGCCCGAGTCAGGTCGCGCATAAGCGCCCTCGTTTCCAGTGCAGCGTGCCGCGCAGGCGGCCCGCGTAAGCCACCGCGTCAGGTCGCTGTGTGATCTCGCCGAAGGCCCGTCTCTTCTCGTCGCTGAACCGTGATGCACGGGGTCAAAGCAGGCCAGCCACAACTGGGGGAGCTGTGGTCCTTACCCCCCTGGGGGACCCATCGATTTCGACACCCCTCTCGAGAGATCGTCGAGACGATGGGTTCCCCCAGGGGGGTAAGGACCACAGCTCCCCCAGTTATGGCTGGTCGGCAAAGCCCTCCCATCCACTCCTCCCCCTTGCCCATCCACCCTCGGCCTGCCCCTGCCCCTGCCCCCGCCCGCACAGGCCTCCCTGCACCGCACCGCACCCTGCTCCCCATCCGTTCCGCTCCGCTCCGTAGCGTTGAGTCGGGCCTGTCCCTCTACAGGGGGAAGATTGATAGATAGTCGAGAAATAGTCTGGGAACGATTTGTTGACTATTTCTGAGCATGTTTGATTTTTTCTATTCTTTATCTTCCGCCCAAAATCCACCTGTAGGGGGGACACGCCCGACCGGACCGTATAGCGGCCTGGAGCGTGCCCGTTTTTGGAAGCAGTCATGCACAGGAATAGGGAAAAGGTGTGGGGCAGTACACGAATGCAGGCGCCACTCTTCTGGAGGCGCCTCGACCCAGATCCACTCGAAAAAGGAAGAGAAGTGGCGAGGGGACTTGAGGCTCAAGCCGGCTTGATAAGCCTCCCTGGTCAGGCCCAACCAACCGACAGTCAGGGGCGTCTGCAAGGTCCGATCTCTGGCCCATGCTGGGCATCTCCTCATCACGATCCCAATCTTAGGGATTCCCTTACTGTGTGAGGGCGAATCCCTAAGATTGTCATCGCCTTTTGGCGTGCCAATCTTAGGGATAGGGATACGTTCGAGGCTGGTAATCGGCGAGACGTCACCGAGCGGCCCCACATCTGCCAGGGGGCCCCGGGCCCCGCCCCAAGGGGGCTGCCCCCTCCTCGCCACCAGAAGGAAGCACAGCCCGTCGCCGCTGGCTGGCCTGAACATCAGCCTCAACCCGAAGACCCCCGCAGACTTGCTGCCCACGCTGGCCATGCTGAAGGCCCTGTACGCGGAGGGCAAGGAGCGCATCGCGAAGCTGAACGAGCGCGAGAAGTTGTCCAAGCAGCAGTTCGAGAGCAAGGAGGTGGAGCACAAGGCACGGCTGGCGAAGATCGAGGGGAAGGTGACGGACCACAAGCTCAGCGCGGCCTTCGCCGCCAACGAGACACACGACGAGAACCGGCTGTGGAGCTACTGGCAGCGCGTCCGGGAGAGGCAGCACCGGCAGTTTCACACCAGCCTCAAAATCCAGCACGGCACGATGGAGCGGGAGAAGCAGATGATCGACATGTACGAGAAGACGATCGCTGGCACGGCCGACAAGGAGTCGGTGGCGAGCGAGCTCTCCAAGGTGGGCGACCCGAGGAAAAAGAACGCGACGATTTCGCGCGGAGATCCGCGCGCGAGCTGCCTGCGCCAGGCTGCGCGTAAGGCCGCACGCTTCTCCGCGTGGTGAGCGCAGAAAGCATCTACACACCACCACCGTGCCAGGCCAGGGCCATCCTAGGCCCTAGGATGGTGTCTACGCCCTCCTGGCCGAGCCAGGAGGGTCCATGCACCATCCTACGGCCCAGGATGGCCCTGGCCTGGCACGGTGGTGGTGTATAGATGCCTTCGTCGGATGGTGGTCCCCGCAAGCGGATTACGTGAGCCACTGCGTCAGGTCGCTGCTCTAGACTTCCCACATGCGGCCCGGGTAGGCGGGGCCAGAGGGTCGCGTCGCATCGCCCATGCACCGGCGATGTGGCTCGGTGTGGGCCCTGATTTTCTCCGCGCCGACGTCGCCGATGCATCGGTGATGCATCGACGATGCGGCGCGATCCTCCGACCCCACCTGCTCCCACCCCATCATGGAGGCTCCGTGCACAGATGCGGGCGGGGATGGGGGGGGGTCTTTGCCGAGAAGGCGTGGGAGGCTTCTTAGAGGGCGGGCGCCTTCTCCAGAGGGGCCCAGAGGCCTCCCGGAGGGCCTCTCGCGAGAAGCCCCCCCCCCCTCCCGCCTTCCTGATCGCAAGGCTGCCCCATCTCGCCCAACCCCCTCCCCTGAGATCCGACACTGCGAACAGGTTGCAGCCTCGCGAAAAATCACGGCCGGGGCCTCTGGGCCAGAAATTCGACCACGCGCAGAGGGGGGCACAGACAACCCGCACAGGAAGGATGGGCAATCTTCCCAAGGGTACCCTTGCATCTTTGCCTCCTCGGTCCATCCTTGGCCACTTTTGTTGGCCGCGCCCCGCTCGAAAAGCTTCGGAATGGGTGTCCAAGGCCCTTTGCATCCTTTTCGCGCATCCTTATGACACTGGCCGACGGTAGGTGGAGGGGAACGGCTTCTTAGAAGCATCCCTGCTTCTTGGAAGGCGTGGGCCTTGTCTGTAGGGGTAGGGTTGGCGCTTCCTGAGAAGCAGCCTCCCTCTTGGAAGCCTCCCCCCCGTCCCCTACGCCCCCGTGCGCGCCGCCAGAAAGTCGCGGCCGGAGCCGCGGGGCCCGAGGCGGCACGGAAGTGCCCGGCGTGCGAGCGCTGCCCTGTGCTCAGGCGCAGCGAAGCAGCACATCACCGGAGGATCCGGAGGACCCGGGCCCCTGCCCCAGGGAGGTGATGACTAGGAGGGGGGGGATATCATGGCGGGGGCCATGATATTTCCCCAGATTTCATGGCGCCTCTTCTTACTTCATTACGTCCCTGGCCCCCCCGCTGGGCCGCGCACATGCCGCCGGTCATGATTTGCACCCCCCCCTCTTGGACACCCCCCTCTTGGCCGCTCCCGACCAGGGCAGTGCGTTCGCCCCAGCTCCATCCTTCGGATCGCCCCGAGGCCCGACGGCAGGCCCCCGAGGCCCACACCGAGGAAGAACGACGGCATGGCAGCGCCAGCTCCTCGGAGATCTGGGCGCGCGCGCAGCGGGGCCAGACATCGAAGAAGAAGAAGAAGAAGAAGAACAAATAAACATGAACATAAACTTTGGGCGCTCCGCCGCGGATTTCTCGGATCCGCGCTGGGAGACCCCTGGCGGCGCCTCTGGCGCCACCCCTGGCGCGCTCCGCGCGCCAGGGAGGGGGCACAGCGCGGATCCAAGAAATCCGCGCGGAGCGCCAAAAGTTTATCTTCATGGTTTTGTTTTCCTCTTCTAAGACACCGGGATCCCCGGACGTCCGACACAGATTTTCCCAGATGCCGGTACGGGGTCCCCCGCGACTGGTGCTGCTTCCCGAGTCGTTCTGCCGACGGGGCCGGGGCCCGGCGACGGCCCCCGGGGGCCGAAAGACGGCAGGAGAGGCGTGTCCGCCGTGATGTTTGCCTGGCCCCGCTCGGACGCGCGTGTGTGCGTGAGTGAGTGAGTGAGTGAGTGAGTGAGTGAGTGAGTGAGTGAGTGTGTGTGTGTGTGTGCGTGTGTGTGTGTGTGCGTGTGTGTGTGTGCGTGTGTGCGTGTGTGCGTGTGTGCGTGTGTGCGTGTGTGCGTGTGTGCGTGTGTGCGTGTGTGCGTGTGTGCGTGTGCGTGTGCGTGCGTGCGTGCGTGCGTGCGTGCGTGCGTGCGTGTGTGCGTGTGTGTGTGTGAGTGCGTTTCTCTTTCGGCAAGGACCATCGTCGGCGGCGAGCGAGGGGGAAAAGTGAGAAGGAGAAGGCCTTCTCAGGAGGTTCGGAAGTCCCGCGGCCTTCTGAGGAGAAGCCCTCCCTGGAGACAAGACAAAAACGTCTCAGAAGGCGCGAGGGCTTCTGAGAAGTCCCGCTGCCGCCCGAGAAGGCCTTCTCCTTCTCATTTCCACCCCCCCTCGCTCGCCGCCGACATCCAGCAGCCTTTTTTTGGTCACCTTGCGAAAAAGTGCACGCACGAAGCCCCGACAAATGCACAAGGGGATGGACGTCCGAGCGATGGCGAGCTCGACGCGACGCGAGCGCGTCTGGGCCTCACCCGCCGCTCTTGGTTCAGGAGGGGGAAAATCGGGAGGGGAAAAAACACACAGACACAAAGAATCGTCGATTCCCCAGAAAATATTAGAAAATATGGGAAGTGGGGGGAAGACAAAAAACAGAGAAAATATAGGAAAATATGGGGAATCCTTTTATTTGTGTGTATTTATTTGTGTGTCCCAGGGCCCCTTCAGAAAAGCACCGACACAAGTCATCGCCGATTCACAGGAAAATATGGGGCAAGGTATGAAGTGGGGCCTGGGGAGACGAACGTCCAGAAGATCTGGGAAAACAGGGGGACTCCTGGGATTATGCGTCTGTCTGTTTGCCTGTCCCTGGGCCCCTTCTCGGGCGATCGCAAGCATGGATCAAGGGGGCGTGGCTTGGCGACGGGTCCCGTTTCCAGGGGACATCGCGGATTTCCGCCGCCGAGCGAGACGGCACCGTCCGCATGTGGGGGAAGGCACCTCCCCCGATCCATGGATTTGGCGACCGCGCGCCAGATCCATGGATCCCGAGCATTTTCTGTGGGTGGAGGGCAACGTGTGAAAGCTGAAATGCCGTTTCGATGGATTTTCGAGGGAATCCGCAAAAGGTGAATCACAAGACGGATTGATTTTCGAGGTGCAGAAGCCCGTGTGGATTTCACCCGGAGCCCTCCACCCCGAGAAGATGCTCAGGGATCGCTGATGTCTGCGCGCCGCCGACCTGCGCAGGTGGCGGGGGGCTCCGCCCCGGAGGTCGTCTTCGCCCAGGGCGCCGCGCTGCTGCAGGCCTCGGGGGTGGACAGACCTCCTACCCTGACACGTCGATCAGTGAATTGTCCGTCTTCGGTTCTCGAGAGGGCGCCGCGGTCGTCCTTTTCCAGGCTTGCGCCCTCCAGGTTTGGGCCCGAGGTCGTTTTCACTAAACCACGTTTTACAGCGAGCGGCTCGAGTAAGGAAAGCTTGCTTCTCGAAAGGGGCTCGATCGTTCCCCAGGTTTGACTGCGCTATGTGTCGCTCCCTATGCGTTATGCATCATCGATGGGTCCTTGTGCGTTGTTCCCCGGAGAAAATAGGGGGCTCCGTTCCTTATGTATCGTTCCTCTCGGATGCAACTCCTGGGAGGTCAAATTCTGATGTAGCCCTGGTCCGAAATCCGGCTTAATCCGGCTAAATCCCGCTTGATCTGGCTTAATCCCGCTTAATCCGGCTTAATCCCGCTTAGTCCGAGGCCCATTCTGGCGTAACAGCTTTCAAATGGGGCTTAATCCTCGTTATTTTTTCCGACGAAAACCTCCCAGTAGTTGCCTCCTAAGTTCCTTAGGTTAGGCCGATGACTGTACGAAAGCGAGGCCCGTCCCTCCGCGCAGGCCAGCTCCTACTGCGCCGCGGCCCTGGCGGAGGTGCGCGCCGCGCGCCGCGAGCTGCGGGAGGGCGAGCAGTCCAGGCGGCCCTCGGGGCGACGGGTCGAGCGTCGCTCGGCATCGCTCGGGCGTGCGCACGTTTTGTTGCCCGGCGGGGGCCACCGAGGAGCACCCCGCGGGCCGTCGCGCAGAAATCGGGTCGGGCGAAAGGGGGGGGTTGGGCAAGGGGGGGGTACGAAATCTGCTGCATGGAGCTGGTGTCGGCCCCGCCGAGGGGCCCGTTCCTCGATACATAGCCGCCTCCGGCGCCGGGAGGCGCCGGGAAAATCAGCTACGTGAGCCGATTCTCAAACCCCCCCTTTGCTATATCCCCCCCTGTCGCCCGGCTCGAAAAAAGGGCACGCACGAAGCCGAGAGATCGCGCGGGGAAGGGGCGTCCGAGCCATGGCGAGGCAGGGGATCGATCGCAGAAAGGATTGTTCGGGCGAAGAGAACTATGCACATGCACCGATCCTGGCAAGGCCCATCCTTGACCCAGGATCGGTGCATATGCCTTCCTGGCCAAGGCAGGAGGGCGTATGCACCGATCCTGGGCTCAGGATGGGCCTGGCCAGAATCGGTGTATGTGCATAGTTCTTTTTCCTCTAATTGTGTGGCCCCAGGGGGCGGCGAGTCGAGCACGGCGGGTTGGCCTCGTGTCGAGCACGGCGGGTTGGCCGCCGTGGGCGTTCCACGCGGAGCGCCGCCGGATGGATCGACTGGACGTTTCGGAGGCGGCCGATCGTTGCATCCTCCTCCTCCTCCCCCTCCTCCTCCTCCTCCTCCTCCTCCTCCTCGTCCTCCTCCTCCTCCTCCTCCTCCTCCTCCTCCTCCTCCTCCTCCTCCCCTCCTCCTCCTCCTCCTCCTCTCCATCTCCTCCTCCTCCTCCTCCTCCTCCTCCTCCTCCTCCTCCTCCTCCTCCTCCTCCTCCTCCTCCCCCTCTTTTCTCGTTCCAGGCTGAACGATTCCGAAACGAACGCCGAAGTCGACACGACACGAAGCTGCCGTAGGGGATCGACTGCAGAATTGATGTACCCCAAGCTTTTGATTTTTCCGCCGAGTCTATCCCGGCAGCGCAGAAGACGCCGCAGATCGACGGAGCATGTAGCGTATGTCCGTGGAGCCGACGAAACAAAACCATTCAAGGTAACTCAATTCTGTAGTCGATTTCCAACTCGAACGAGAGCTGCAAGCGCCTCACAGACTTCGGGCCTCCCAGGCGGAGTCCCAGTTTTCGAAGGCGGTTTCCCCGGATGTTTGCTGCTTGAGTTGTTTTTGGACTTCATGCCTCGGGATGCGTTCCATCAGCTGCGCCTCGCCGAGGGCGTTCTGCGGGTGCCAGGATCGTCCCGAGCGTCCGCCGCAGAGCCGAGATATGACCCGAAAACCACGGGGCCTCCAAGATGGGGCGACGACAGCCGCACGCGCCTCACAGTGTCCGGGCCTCCCGGACTAACCCCTGGGATCCAGCGTCGCAACTTTGTCCCACAGGGCGAAGGGTTCGTTGCCTCGGGGACGCAAAACTTGAATAATTGATTGGGATATGTTGCCTCGGGGGTGCAAGAGTTCCGTACTTTGCGAAGGGTAATGGCCTCTGGGGACGCGAATACCGCGTAATTTAGGAGGGTTAGGGTCATTGGCCTCGCGGACGCGAATCTTTTGCAATTGATTAGGGATCGTTGCCTCGGTGGCGCAATTGCGGTGTATTTTACAAAGGATCGTGGTCCCAGAGGCGCGAATGTAGCGTAATTTGCAGGAAGTCGTGGCCTCGGGGGCGGGAATACGTTGTATTCAACGAGGGATCGTGGCTTCGGGGACGCGAATGTGGTGCAATTTGCGAGGGATCGGAGTCTCGGGGACGCGAGCGTGGCGTAATGTAGTAGGGATCGTGGCGTTGGGAGCGCGAACGTGGAGTAGTTTACGGGGGATCGTGGCCCCAGAGGCGCGAATGTGGTGTAATTTGATGGAGATCGTGGCCTCGGGGGCGCGAACATGGTGTACTTTACCATGGATCGTGGCTTCGGGGACGAACGTGGCGCAATGTATTGGGGATCGTGGCCTCAGGGGCGCGAGCACAGTGTAATTGACCAAGGATTATTACGGCGGGAGCGCGAATGTGATGTATTTTTACGCGTCCCACGGTCCCGCAGGAATTCAGAGCAGTCGATTCGGAGGTTGTAACTGGACGCTTTTCGGCTCCCCCCATTCGCACGGACTTCAACAATTGACAGTAGCAAGCAGAAAGCAGGACTGTAACATTGGAGAGTGGAAACTGGAACTGGTGCAGGGCACTGAAACCTACTCCTGGCAGCCAGATGGCCCCACAAGGGGGCCGGCGGATGTGACTCAAAGGAAGCCATATATCGATCACAAGGGGTGGGGCTTACCAGATACCTCTATACAACATGTTTATATACATATATGTATATATATATGCATATATATATATACATAGATATACATATATATATGTGTATATATATATGCATGTGTAAATATGTATATATATACACGAATGTACGTATGTATAGATTGCGTTCTCCGAAGGTTTGTCTGCGGCCAGCAGACGTCCACCGGGGAGACCCCCGCCGCACCCGCCGGCCAGCACCTGCTCGTCCCCGCCCCTCCCCCATCCGAGATGCCCCCCCCCTGTGCTCCTGCGTCGGATCGGGGAAGGGGGAACGATCAGGGGGGGCAGGCGGGAAGGGGGTAGGTGGCTAGGGGAGGTGGGGGCGATGGTGATGATGATGAGGAGGAGGAGGAGGAGGAGGGCATGGCCGGCAAGTGCGACGGGAGTGTCCCAGCCATCGCGGTATCCACTTCGGCCAACGCTGCTGGCACCGCGGAGTTCTCCGAGATCTCCACGTCGGACGGCGTCTGCAAGACTCAAAACAGTGACAAGGTGACCGCCATAAAGTTCTGTGGCCCTGGTGAGTTGACGCTCTCGCGCATGCAGTGCAGCGATCACCACGAATATAAGGCAATGGTGGTGAAGCACAGCTCGGCTGACTACACCACTAATTGTGAGACGATAGCCACAAAGGGTACTGTCGTCGAGGGCTGGCTCGGGAGTTTCACTCTGAGCTGCTAAGCCGCTCTTGCCTCCCAAACCCGACGCAGGAAGACGGTCGCAGTCTGAACAACATTTCTCGGCCCAAGTCCAGTTGGGCAGTTGTTGCGCGTAGCTTCGGTCGAGCTTCGCACTCCCAAGTGCGGGGCATTGAAGCTTGTGCTGTTTTCTCGTTGTAACCATACTGTCGCTGCAGAGGTTCGTATCCCCTAGTTGTAAATACCCGCAGTATGCCCTCTCAGAGGGACCTAGGACTGAGCTTGGGGCCCAGGGCCGTCAAACAGGATGACCCAGAGGAGCATGCTTCCGACCAACCGGGAGCAGGAGCGTGACGCGGTGACGTGCTTAGGAAGACCGGGAGCCGCAGAACCCATTCCCTGACGCACCGCTTGAAAAATGGCATCATTATCAACCACGATTGTTGTTATCTACCTAATCGCATGTACGGCGGTAAGTTGGTCCACCAGCATCGTCAGCAGCGCGAGTGCCGCTGGCAGCCATGGCACTCACGCAGGTTGGTCGCCCCCTTTTTTGACGCTTGCTTCCAGCCTCGGAGGCTTACTGAACCTCCTGACAGCAACAGCTAGTATGCTTCGTCCTGACCCTTTTGGGTCGTCTTGGGGTTTGAACAAGGCTGGGCGACTGAGTACGAGTGGATCTTGTTGTAAGCGAGTCTGGATGAGATGGGCCAATGTGCCCCGTGGAGCACCGCAGGTCGTCTCCACCTTGGGTGATCCAAATGGTAGCTTGCTACACCGCGATAACCGGGGTCTTCCTGAAGGGAGGGGATTCCGGTGGGGGGGCACTCAATCGCATCGGCTGAGACACCCCCACATATTGGGCGCGAACGGGACAGTGTATACCTCCTGGTGGCTTCCCCTGAAGTGTACCCAACTGTGATGCCTGCTACATCGCGATGGGCATGGGGCTCTGAAAGAAGAGGAGTCGGGGGGGCAAACAAGCGTTTCGCCCGAGACGCCCCCACGAAATGGACGCGCGTGGCGGCTCCCCTTGGGTGCTCAGATGCTATGCCTGCTACATCGCGGTGGCCATGGCTTTCTGAAGGGAGGAGAGTGTGTGGAAGGGGGAAGCGGGCAAACAAGCGTCTCGCTGGAGACGTCCCCATCATCTGGGCGCGAACAGGTCTAGGGAACACCTGTTCGGCAACCCCTTGGGATGACCAAGCGTCATGCCTGTTACATAGCGGTGGCCATGTGGACCTGGAGAGCTGGCGTGAGCGTCAAACCACGTGGCGGCGAGTGAGCAAGAGGAGGACGAGACGACAGCGCCGATGACGACAAGCGGACAGGCCACGAGGCCCCGACCAGCAGAAGAGACACTCCACGGCCGCAGCACGGGCAGCCAGGCGCGGAGCAAGAGCCGGCAGAGGAGGGAGAGGGGGAAGATGAACGGTCAGTCGGGGCTAGAACGAGGATCAATCCGTTCCAGAGCGTTCCGGAACGCTCCCAGAGCGTTCCGGAACGCTCTGAGAAGCCCGTGGCGCCGGATACATCCCCCAGATCCGCCGGATCTCAGATATTCTCGATTTATCCGTACATTGCCGTTTTTTTATGCATGCTCCGCGTGCGGATCATGTATTTCAAAATGCCGGGATTTAGCATTAAAAACAACGATGAGTTCATGCATACATTCATTCATGCATGAATCATGTATTACAATTTTTATATCTTAAAAAAAAACCATGTATGAAAATCTGCCGTGTACACGGTGCCATCTTCGTCCTAGCTTCGTCTTGGGGAGAGAGGGCATCAGAGCCCCGAATCATCAGGGGTAACTCGGGTCAGGGTTAACTCGGGTTCGTTTTTCGGGAATCCCAACCCGAGTTATCCCGGACCCGAGTTACCCCGGATATTTCGGGCGTCCAGAGCCCCGAATCATCAGGGGTAACTCGGGTCAGGGCTAACTCGGGTTCGTTTTTAGGGAACTCAAACCCGAGCTACCCCGGACCCGAGTTACCCCGGATAACTCGGGCGTCCAAGGGCAGGGGAACGGGGAAGAGAGGGCTCAGGAAAGGCGCGGCCGGGCGCCTTTTGCCAGAGCCGCCAGCCCCTGCGGCGAGAAGGGGAGGAGGGACACGAGACGGCTGCGCCGAGGACGACAAGCGCCACGGCCACGAGGCCAGGAGGGCGAGACAGAGACGAAGCGACAAGAACGGGAACGACGAGAGGGCTCTCCGCGGACCGTAACCAGTACGCCCGGTCGCTCCGCGTGCAGAAGTGCTGCCCAGAACGGCGACAGCCATGATCGCGCACGAGGCACGCGGGCCAGGCTCGCAAAGCCTGCAGGCCAGGCCAGACGGGGCGGTGGGACACTTAACAGCCGCAGGGTCACAGCCAGGAGCGCGGCGGGGACTGAATTCGCACGGGGTGGTGGACGACCTGGAGGGTTCCTCCGAATGACTTAGGCGACCCGTCCTCCTCCTCCTCCTCCTCTTCTTCCTCCTCCTCCTCCTCCTCCTCCTCCTCCTCCTCCTCCCCCCCCCCTCCTCCCCTCCTCCTCCTCCTCCTCCTCCTCCTCCTCCTCCTCCTCCTCCTCCTCCTCCTCCTATTCCTATTCCTATTCCTATTCCTATTCCTCCTCCCTCTCCTCCTCCTCCTCCTCCTCCTCCTCCTCCTCCTCCTCCTCCTCCTCCCCCTCCCCTCCCCCCTCCTTCACCTCCCCTCCTCCTCCTCCTCCTCCTCCTTCCTTTTTTCCTCCTTTTCCTCTCCTCCTCCTCCTCCTCCTCCTCCTCCTCCTCCTCCTCCTCCTCCTCCTCCTCCTCCTCCCCCCCCCCTCCCCCTCCTTCACCTCCTCCTCCTCCTCCTCCTCCTCCTCCTGCTCCTCCTCGAGTCGCCTACGGCCCCGGGGGAAACCGTACAGGACGACCCCGGAGAGCAGCAGGAAGGCAGGGGGGGGGAAAGAGCGGAAGCCACGGGCCTCGCAGCTTTCGGCGAAGGCCTCTCCTGCGCCTAAACGCCGCACGCAGCGACGAGAGAGCGCCCGCTGGCAGCCGACTTGCCTTCGGGGAGGGCATCCAGGGAGGCGATCGCAAACATGGATCAAGGGGGCATTGATTTGCGACGGGTCCCGTTTCCAGGGGGAATCGCAGATTCCCGCTGCCGAACGAGGCGGCACCGTATGCATTTTGGGGAAGGCACCTCCCCCGATCCATGGATTTGGCGACCGCGTGCCAAATCCATGGACCAGGGAGGAGCGGACTCTACGAGTCCTGGTGGGCGGCTGGGATCTTCCAGGCGGCCCCCTCAGTCGGGCCCGGCTGTGCGGCGTCAGCATTGGCGGGGCTGGCGGGCGCGGCCGCCTCGGGAGGCGGTGCTTGCCGAGCCCTGCCTGACGGGCGGGGGGCGGCCCTGATGTCTATGAGCCTCCTGGACCAGTCGGCGATCTCGTGGCCATGGGGGTCGTGGAGCCAGAGGGGTGGCACTCCCGATCCGGGGATGCACGTCGCTGGGGAGCCGGGCGTGCCGTAGACCTCGCGGAGGAAGTCGGCCAAGGCGATGGGCAGGAGCGCGGGATTCCGCGCCGCAGCTCGCAGCGAAGGCGCCCCGCTTCGGGGCCTCGACGCCCCCCGGCTGGCGGCGCACGACGACCGCGCGCCCGAGGTCCTCGGAGGCGAGGCCGGCGGTGGGGCTGTGCGAGCACCCCTCGAGGACGCCACGAGGGGCGCGGATGCCCCTCTCAGGAGGAAAAGAAACACACAGACACAATTAATCCTCGACTCCCCAGAAAATATGGGAAAATATGGGAAGTGGGGGGGAAGACAGAAACCCAGAAAATATGGGAAAATATGGGCAACCTTTTTATTTGTGTATTTATTTGTGTGTCCTGGGGCCCCTTCACCCTCGCGGTGCTGTCTCTGGCTGTGCCGATGGGGGGCCGGGCGACCGAGGGCCGCGCCCGAGCGTCCATATGCGGCGCCTCGGGCCCGCGCGCCCAGGCTCGAGCTGGGCCTGTCCCTCTACAGGAGGAGTAAGTTGGAGGGGGAGGGGCTCCTCCTCCTCCTCCTCCTCCTCCTCCTCCTCTTCCTCCTCCTCCTCCTCCTCCTCCGCCTCCTCCTCCTCCTCCTCCTCCTCCTCCTCCTCCACCCTCCGACTTATGGTAGTGGTGGTGGACAACAGGTCCATCATATTCGAAGATGCCTGGGGACGAGTTTTTTCGACTATTTTTGAACTATTTGAGGATATGTTTTGAGTCTATTTTCTTTATTTTTCGTCCAAAAATTCCCCTGTAGGGGGACAGCCCCGACCTAAGCCCAGGCGGCCGGGCGGCGGGTGCTGCCGGGGCGGGGCGGAGCGGGGTTGGGCGGCCCTGCCATGGGGCGCCCGGCGACGGACGTCGCCGCGCAGTGGGCGGGCGTCGCTGCGCTACCGGGACGCCGCCAGGGCGCGGCCCAGCTTGTCGCGCACGGGAGTTGCCGCCTGAACGGCGGCAGTGGGAGAGAGTCGGAGGTGGATAGACCTCCTACCCTGGCACGTAGAGTCGCGGCCGTCATTTTTGCGGGTCCAGGTCTGTGGGTTTCGGTCCTGGGCCGTTTTCATTTAGGGGAGGTTTAGTAAAAGGGAGGCTTGTCCACCGCCGAGAGAGAATGGCTTGGACCAGAGGGCCCGTAGAGGAGCAGCGCACACCTGGCACCGCCCGCAAAACCACCCCAACCCAACCCGAAGGGCTTGCCCCAGTGGGTGGAGCGTCGGGGAACATTGAAAAGCACGCGTGGAACCCGTGCCCCACCAACCCGAAGTTCGGGTCTTCGGGTTTGGTTGGGGTGGTCTGGGTGGTCGTCAGCCTTGAACTTGGCGACGTCTGGGGTCGCGAAGGTGCCGGCGATGGTGCGCGGCGGCCAGGCGCTGGGGTAGAGCGATCCTGGGGAGTAGCGTCCACGGCAGGCCTTGCGGTGGCACGGGGGTCGCGCGGGGTGCGGAATCTTCGGGCGCCAGGGGGACCTCGCATCCTTGGTCTGGCGGGGCGTCGGGAAGGCGGGGGGCGCCTGGGCGCGGGCACAGCCGCCTCGGGGGGCTCGCGGGCAGCGGCGCGGGGTTGCCACCGGTGGCCGGGTGGGACGGCCTCGGCCGCGCAGGCGTTCCGAACAGCCTCGACCTCCCCGGGGCCGAGGCGCCACCTCGGCGCAGCGGCGGGGGCAGGCCCGCGCGAGGCCGCGCTGCCCGTCCCTGCGTGCCGCCGCCCCGTCGAGCCAGCGGGGGCGGCCGTCCAGAAGGCGCGAGGCCACGGCCTGGCACGGTGCGGAGGGCGGGCGAGCCGGCGGGCCCGCCGCCGCCGGGGGCGTCCGGCAGGAGCAAGGTCTCAAGCAGTGTCGAAGCGTCCTGGCTCGCCGTTAGCCCAACCAAACGACGTGCTAAGAACCGTGGCTTCCGCGACATGCTCTTAG